CTACTTTAGTAGGACAATTCTTAGATTCCTTTCTACATTATTCTGAAGCACCACCTGACCTCAAAAAACACTGAAACATTGAAGCAATTACGGAAAAAAAAAGACACAAGAAACTTTTGTATGAGACCTCTCAGGTTTGAATAGTGGTCTCTTCAAAAAACCTGTGGTTTTAGTTACCTTTATGAGGTGTTTTAGCCTATCTAAAGGCACAGACTGTGTGCAACTTTTTGTTATGCTTAGATCTTCATCTCCATTAAACCATAAGCCAACCTGATTAAAAAAAAAAAAAGTTTGTTAATTTTCACACATTAAAATAAGGTGGTCTTTAACTGTTCAACAGACAGGTTACTAAGAGCTTAATTCCTAAGTAGCTGCTTGTACTTTATAACAGATACTTGAGAAATTACTGAAAATTAGGTAGGAGAGAAGTGAATTTATGCTCTTGAAAATAGATAGTGGTAAACTACACCGCCGAAAAAGCAAAATATGATGTGGAGTTTCTCTGCATGTTCTAGTTTCCTCCTTTTAGGATACCATTTGCTACCTCCATAGCTTTTGTCTGAACTGTACTTTTAGAAGAAACTGTCCACAATTCAGGATGATGAAGGATGGAGTCATGGCTCTTCTCATGCTTGCCCTGCTCCCAAAAAGATAACTAATGTAATGCCTGCAGAGCATGTCCTCTAATGCCTACAGAGCTATAGCTACAGCTGTAAATTAAAAGTCCTCAGAACCAACTCTATAATACTAGACTAGGAAATATCAACTAGATCTAAAACAGGATAGGCATGAACAGACTGTAAGATCCTGTGCACATTCTCAGTCTGCATGCCTTGTAACTGTTAGCTTATTTTTGAACTCTCACACTTCAGTAAAAATTACAATAGAAAAATAGGTGCAGATAGACCTGCACTTTTTGTGGGATTTTTGGCTTTGCAGAATTTGTTTCTTTGCAAGTCAGGGATGGGTAGGGATAGGCAGGCACCCCTACAAGCTTGAAATTAATCAAAGTAGTTCTGAAACTGACAGACTTCTGAACTAACACAGCCTTTATTTAGTTTTTGAAGAAAATCAACACTAGGTGATTGGAAAACAAATTGCAATAAAGGTCCTATAAAATGTATTTAAAACAGTTTGAAAATTATTTTTAATATCAACAGACAAACGCAAACTGGCAGAACTGTACATCTTCTGTGTACACGTGCACACACATACACATATATCAATGGACACATACTAGCTGATATTCATAGCTAGTATGGACTAAAAGAATGAAACAGCAGTCATTTTAATTATGATTAAGAAAGTAGAGTAAAAGTAAGTGAAAATTTAATGAGCAGAATTTTTCTAAAAGAAGAAAAATGTGTTCTTAATACTCCTTCATTAAAGGAGTATAAACTTGCTCGCTGAAAAATCTCGCTAAACTATGTGACAATTCAAATAGAATCTATCTTCAGAGAAAAGATCAAAGAATTTTATAATTTTCCAGGTACTCAAGGTCTGGAAAACAATCTTAATTTGAGGAAATAATTAATGGGAAAAAAAATCTAGAAATGTTTCAATTAAGTACAGCTGATGAGCTGAAACTAAAACCCTTATTTCTGCTTGAGCAAGTTTTTTGTCTTATTCAGTGTCAAATAAGCTAATAGTCATCAAAGTGCATACACAAAGGTTTCTTTAAAACCGAAAGGGTTTTTACTTTAAATTAATGGTGAAACTAGGAAATGAAAGTAAAAAGTAAGCTTGATTTGTGGAAATATGGACATCATTAGGCCATCCATTTCCTGAAAACACTTTTTACCAGAAAGCACCCTCAAACCCAAAAACATTTAAAATTCAGACTGAGTTTCTGAATGTGAATAAACCCAATAATACACCATTCAATTTAGAGAGTTTAGCAAAACAAAACATGATTCAAAAGAGAAAAGATTTATAACCTGCAAGTAGTATTCCTCTGTAACAAAGCCTGATCCAGCTACATCAACAGCCTTGAAGCTATGCAGTGTTTTGAGGAGTTGTGTCACAGATGGCACTGGCCAAGGCTGTGCTGCTGCTACCAAGAATCTGCGCCAGTCAGTAAATTCTGCGTTCACTGAGAATGCAGATGCCAGATTTTCTAACTATAAAACCAGAATAATAAATATTGTCAAATATGTGTGCATAAACATACAAATATATTCTTTCAATATCCTGTGTATTCTTGGGTCTTTTCCTGGCTAGGAAGGACAAGGTCCTGCAGAGAGATGTCACAGTTATATAAAAGGCATGTATCAGTAGAAAAACAGGCCACAAGCCACTGTGTGTCAGTTGATATCCCTCTAAATAAATACTCTTACTCCCCAAATAGGGCTCTGTATCTAAACTGCCTATGAGATATCATCCTGAAACCCTGAAATCCTGTCTGCATGAGCACCAAGAATTGAACTGACAATTCAGCAGCATGAGCACAAAATCTAGCAAATCCTTGGTCCCGTGCCTTGGTCCTGTTACTCTTAGAGGTGTTGACCATGTGGCTTTCTCTGTTCCAGCATTATTGTCAGAAAAAAGCAGTGGTAGAAAAAATGCTTTGTGTCTTTTTACCAATGAAGACATTGCAGAGCTGGTTACAGGGAGAAACAAACAGGAGAACACTCCTAAAATCTACTGAGACAGCATTAAAAAGGCTGTATTTGACAAAGGAAACCAAATCTGTCCAGTTCATTTCTGCACTGCTGGTATGGCGAGACCCTACTATGCACCTCTACACAACTTTCTGCCCTACACCCAGATTTCCTTGTCAAGGGAAGTGTCTGGGTTGCTCCAGACCAGAGTTTGAGAAGAATGTGTTCACAGGAAGAAGGCCCTGGGGCATCACAGTGAGACAATTTGGTAACACTGTGCATGTCATCTGTGCTGACACTGGCTGGAACACTGCCGCTTATTATCAATTGAAAATTCACTGAGATTCTAGTGAGTCACACAATGATGAAATGGTGAGGTAAGCTCAGAATAGCTTGTGCAAAATAAATATATACCTTAGCTTATGCTTCATGCATTTCCTTTTGTAAATAAGTTCTTGCTTTCACTATAAATTTAAAAGTCTCATTTTAAAATGGCGTTTTTAAAGAAAGAAAATTCGGTTATTAAAATAAAAATAGCATTTATAAGCACTAAAAGTTCTCAAAGAACACAGAACATGGGATATATGCACATGTGGTCTATTAATAGACAATATTTGACTTGTAGTTTCCCCCAAACAATTAATTTGCTGTGCTAACATTAGATTTTTATATACTGATGATGACAGTTGTGGCTAGTTTTCACTAAACTCAGTGGAAATACACCACTGGGAAACTTTAAAATGTTTTACTCATGCAGTTCATCTGTGTGAAGAATATATGAATGAAGCTGTTTCCACATGTGAAATCCAGTAAAAATATAAATGTGAATCATGGTTTACTGTCAGAAATAACTATCAAAACATGCTAAAACAAGTATATAATTTCATTCAATAGGCCTACCAGCAACATCTGAAAGTAAAATTAATCAGACAATTCAGTATGGAAGATTTGGAAAAATTAAATTCTAATTTTCATGTTCCTAAACCTGAAAATCTTAGATAAGTAAGTTTAAGGTCATACAGCTCCAGATTTTAATTTCCTGTGCTGGAATGAAGAACATAAACAGTGTTATTTTAACTCCTGGAAATGAATTTTCAATGGTGTCTAAAAAACCCCATGATTTGAAAATTGTAAATAAATATATTGCTGACAAAAGCATTTTATTTCTGGTGCAGTGGCTTCCAGAATCCTCTAGTGAAACAGAAGAATTTTAAGGAAAAAATGATAATGTCCTATAATAACTATAATCTTGATTTTATCTTAATAAGGACAATGCTGCATCAATTGCACAATATTGCACAAACCAATATTCCAGTTGAAGAGAAAACAGGGGTTAACTTACATCTGGAAGTTTTAAGTTCATCCATCGATCAGGAAGGCAATTTACTCCACGATTCAAATTAACCAAGCGACTAAAAATGTCAATAAATACTTTCTTTCGTATAAAACCTAATAGAAAAGTCAATACCAAAAAATATATTTAGCATTTTAAATAGACTTCTTCTGTTAAAGGAAATCTTTTTTTTTTTTAATTTTAATAGTGATGTGGGAAACTTATTTGTTTTGCTATTATGCAATATTGATAATGCTAATATTTTCAAAGCCAAACATAAAATTTCCTCATTTAAAATAAATCGTGTGGCCTATCTAATAGCAAAATATCAAATATTCCAATGCATTGCATTTCTTTTGATACTTGTTCTGATCTGCATTGTTATCGCTAATCCATCCTCACACAGTCTACACTGACAGTTAATGAGCATTCAAAAATACCAGTCACACGATTTCTGTGTGTTGAATACCTACCAATCTTTTCCCCCACTGTCTACTTTAATCAATCATAAATCTATCTCCACACTTTAAAGCATGCATAAGTTAGAGAATAGGATAAGAAACACAGACCATTGTCTGTTGAAATTTGAAACAAAATCGATCTGTTCAAAAAGCTTTTCAGAACTGACTTGCAGGAGTTAAAAATAGCTCCATTAATTTTATTTTATAGAAATCATTAGACAGGTAAGTCTAACAAGTCCTATTTGTTTTTTTAAATAGGCATGGATTTGCTTATGAGCAAGCAAACTTTAAATGTTATACTCGGTATTAAAATGCAAAATTATGTATGTAAAATTTAGCAGACAGATAGAAGTCTTTTCTTCCAGAAACAGACTTTGCTGGCTCAGTGAGAATTCACTGCAAAACCTCTGCATTAACAAAAAAACCTGGAAAATAAGTTTCAAATTATTTAAATTTTGAGAGACAAAGCTGATTTGGTCAGGTTATGATCACTTCCACAGCATGAAAACTGGAAGTCTTCAGATTAACTTTAAAAGCATATACAATCAGTGAAATACTGGTAAGACTTACTTATTTTTTTTCTTTTTCCAGTCGAAAGTCTTGTCCTTTTGAAAAAGCACAGCTGTGCACATTTTATGGCTAAGAGACATTTTTGTTGGAAGCAAAACAGTGGAGTGAAATGTAACTTTATGAAAAAAGATGTAAGTGGTAGAAAAACTAAGAATGTTTGAATATTAATTTCATAATGTCAGTATTCAAAATCCAGTAGCCAATTTGAATTGATAGTCTACAGTCTCTGTTTATGTCCAATCAGAAAACACAGAATTAATGCCTTCAGCACATCTTAGTACAGCAGAGGAATCCTACACATATATAAGCTTGGAGAGAAGAGGTAAAAAACAGATTTGGGAAGCTTAAATTCTGTTGGGAGAGGAAGAAGGAAGGACTTGAAGCCATATATCCTACCACAATTTCAGCATGAGAGCAAAGGCTGCGGAAAAAATACTGGCAGACTGGTAGCAGTGCTCTGATGTCACCTTGTGCAAGTTTTTGAGTTATCGACATTGAGAAAGAATATCTTCTAAAAAACCATGAGATAAACTCTTTGCTGTTTACTGAAGCACTCTGGATTGATGATGTAATAATTTAAGGTAACCAGAAATTTGTTTTTTGATGAAAACTTCGTGCTACAAGAATCAGATAATTTCCATACGGCACAATAAAGCCTGCATAACAAAAGCATCATTACTGGGTGACTTCATAAGTAATTCAATAAACCACGTAACATTTTAGTGGTTCATGGGGAGAACAGTCTATGGTCCATGAAGGAGCCAGTGTACACTTCACACAAAAAACAACAAGAAAAAGTTTTACATCTTCTTTCAGTCTCATTTTTACCTAGTGCTTTACCATGAAGAGAGCAGCTATGGTAATTTTTATTGCATTTTTTGCTGAAATTTGCCTTTCCACATCTGATTACTGGCAATCTAACTTTTCTCACAACAGTTCAACTCCTAATATGATTTCCCTCTATGCCAATAAAGAATGTAGCTCCTGTATTTCCTATGAGCTTATGGCTTCCTGAAATGAAATTTAATTTTGTTTTTCTGCATAAAATTCTAAAAGGATACTAAGATCCTCATCTAATTTTTTTATGAGGCTACATGACTTTAGAAACATACATAAAAAGTATTTGAGAGACAAGGAATTTTAAGAGGAATTGCATCAAAACTAATGTCCGAAACAGGATTGCCATCTAAAATGTTACTCACAATCATAGAACTTAGATTGGATTATAGAAAATGCTAGAATGCAGTTTTCAGGTAAATATTATGGTAAACATGAATTACTGTGAGATATTTAAGCTCTGCCAGCTGATCTGCAGTATCTACCCACTTTTCTTCCTGTGTGGGAAATGTGAAGAAACACATCCTCTTTCAATCAGAGCTAAGCCATTTCCTATCTATTAATTATAGAATTGCTGATGTGCTGTAGGGCAATTTCTTTTACTTTATTACCTCCTCCTGAAACATCTGATGTAGGATAATTCCAGTTATAAAAGTTCAAAAATTTCAAATGGACTGTGATTTAATTCCTCCTACTGACATATGTAGGAGGAATGATGAGGAAGTCTCAGAGAGACAGAGGAAATCCCTCATAAACATGTAAAAAAAGATAAGAAATACTTTCCTCACTGTGTTTTCAGGTATTTTGTCTCGATTTAATGTATTTGGGTATATATTACAGAGCAGGGAATCATTTTTGATTATCTGATTATAATCTGAGACGAAAGGTGATTCACCATTTCAGTTCAAGAGCTGCTAATGCTTTATAATCACGGAGAGATGCCTGAGAGTGGGCAGCTACACAGATGGTACCGAGAAAAGAATACCAGTGTCTGCAAATGGCACTCTGCAAGTGGTAAAAGTAAATAATGTCTTCTAGGAAAGAACAAGGAAAACAATTCCCAGAATTGCCTTTGTCCACGTAACAGGACTCGTTTCAAAACAGGTATGCTCTTTATAAAATCTTTTTGCTAAGCCCAAAATAAAAGAAACCAAACCCAGTAAGTTTTAGTTGAATAATGTAGGAGAATGAATAGAAAATGAAATTATTAAATGTCCAGAAACATTTTTAATTAGAAGAGGTAGCAAGCACTGTGGAAAAAGAATCAGTATTCATGAAGATTTTGAAAAACTCAAGAGATGATGAAGATCAGTAAGTAAATTTCACCAGAAACAGATCAAAGTACTTTGAGGAAACAGATTGACAAACTGATGCATTTATTACACTACAGATAAAACAATTCAGGAAGGAATTTTAAGCACACTGGAGAATAATAGGATTAGAATTCAAAGTGAGCTTTACATGTTGGAGATACAGTCTAGAATAAAAGGACACTATCCAATAAGGATTAATGTCAAGTGTCCCACTGGGCTGAAACAATGAACTGCATAAACAGTACAATGGGAATCTTACTGATAAAGTAAAATTTGTATAGAAAAGTATCTAGGGACTACAGTAGATCACAATATTACCAGAAAGTACACATAAAGACATTGGAAATAATCCTTTTTTTTTTTTTCTTCTCCCAGATGTTAAAGCTTCTGCTAGCATACAATTTTGGAATTTGCAGATCTACAAGGATGTACATAAACTAAAGACTGCCCAGAAGGAAGCAGCAAGAATCATCACAGGCTTAGAAAATATGTCCCAAGAGGCAAGGTTGAAGGAATTCTCCTAGTTTCATGGATGAAAGGAAGGTTATGAGAAAACATGCCCCCCTGCACCATGGAAGTGACTTCAGTGTTATAGATTCTAAATATACTTTCAGATTTTATTTCTTTTTTTTGTCTTCAGCTGTTGGACATTCTGGGAACACATTTTCTAATCTCAAAATAGTTAAAAATTTCCCATTTGAAAACTTAAGAGGGGAAAAAATCCTCTTGGCATTATCTGATTTAAGAGAAAACCCTCAGCATCAGCAATGCCACATATCTAATAAGGTACCTTGTACAATATATATCCTATTGCTTCTTAGGTAAAATATATCTAAACTTTTTTTTTTTTTTGGTCTGAGAAATCACAGATTAACATATTTCAATGATGGATCTTCCATAATCCACTGTATAGTTCACAGTACTGATCCTTTTTCTGATCCCTACAGATTAACTCTTCTTGAATGGACTAAAATCCCTTCAGGAGGCACTCATTCAAAACTTACTCCATTTCTGACATACTATTTAGAACTAGATATATGCAAAATACTAAATATGTATATGTGTGTGTATATAGTGTAGTTACATGATATAGTATGGTATGGAATGGTATTGTGCAGTTTCTGCTATTATTACACACATTTTACAGCGAAAGTAAAGAGTTGATCTTGATTCAGAAAATGGGTTGATTTAAAGGTGAATGATCTCACATTCATTTCTCCCAAATTATCTCTAGTACATCTTCATTACTGTTGGAAGAAGTAAGAGGGGTCCTTAATGATTTAATTTTATCTATCTTTTGATACAAATCATTGCTTTTTCTTTGATGGTAAAAATATATTCTGCTGGTATGCTTTACCTTGATTGGAAATTATCAAGTAGAAAGTTGCATTTAGAATATGTAGAATTATGAAAATATGAAATCAGATACTTCTCTGAACTATACTTATTCTCAGCTCCTAGATAAAGAATCAAGATAAAGCATTCTTATTACGACTTTCAAAAATATTTTTACAGGGGGGAAAGAAAAGTGGTTCAAACTGTGAAGTATATTGGTCATATCCTGGCTGTAAGAGTACTTGTTATGGGAAGACTGATTTGTGTAATTAATAATCAGCAATGGATCTGTTCTGCCTCTGTAGAGAAGTCTTCAGAAGGATAAGTCTGAGAAAAACTGTGAAGGGTCATGTTAAAGCTTATCTGATTTGTAAATTTAATCAAAATCTACAAGGGGAGAACCAGATTTAGCCATAGCATGATATGTTCTAAAAATATTTTCTACTCTCCCTAATGTTAAGGAGTTCATGCTCTTCAACATCTGCTCAGTAGAAGCTGTGTCTGGTGAAGCAGTACTGGCAGCTTCCATGCAGGTAGCCCAGGCATGAGCTTCACTACTCTGGTGTGTGTTTATAAATTCAAGTTTGAAATCATCAGTGCCAGAACAAAAATTATGAATGTTTTCCCCCAAATCCACGTTATGTTTACGACATGGTACACAAAACATTATTCCCCTTTCATCATCATATTTTAACCAGGAGTATTTTGTTAGCCACATTTTTGGAAACTGACGATTCGTCTTTCTTTTCTGATGTTCCAAATCTTTCTTCTCTTTCCCTTTGTCACCAACTTCTCTCTTGCTAGAAGAATTACTCTTGCTTTTAAATTGCTTCAGTGCTCTTATGGCTATAATTTAAAAAGAAACAACTAAATATATAATAGTTATTATTCCATAAAATATCAATTGCATATTTTCTTTTTTTTTGTCCACATTAATCTTGTTAATTTGGGATTAGACTGTGACTTGAAATAAACAGCCATGAAGGAGAACAAGGAAAACAGAGATCTACCCTTAAATCATTTGGAGACTACCCAGGATTCTTGTAAGAAATGGTCAGTTTTGACTTCCATTTCCTTTTGACTATCAGGGGTTTGTCAGAATATGCAATCAGTGAAGGGCAGCAGCATCAATACTGTTTTGGAAACAAAGAAAAGCAGAGTTAGGAAGAGGAATTAAGAAGGGTCTTCAAGGAACAATGTCTCCAGAAGATACTACTGAAGTCACAAACTTATTACAATGCCCATCATACCTGACATTAGCAGAAAAGTTAAGTTGGAGCAAGTCTGTAAATACATAATCAAAAACCTGACAAAAAAGCATAAGATGCTCTAAGGCACATGTAGCTGACATGATTTTCTTAAGATGTATTTATACACAGAATGATTTTATTACTGCTTTCAGAACAAGGAACTGTATACGCTTCTCAGTTTGTTCTCCAAATTATAACAATCTTAAAATATTGAGATTGTTCTTAACATTTCCCAGATTGTTACTGAAAATGGCCTTTCCTGTATTTTGTAGGAGAAAACACCATAAACTGAAATTTTTGAAAATTTTATCTCTAGAGCTTATGAATCTCCTACTTTTGGCCAGTAATTTAATGAGTCTTTTAGTACATTGCTGCCAGAAAGTTAGGACTTTAAAAGAAAGCAACCAGATAAAGATGAGAAATTACATGCAGAATGGAGGCAAGACAACTAGAAATCTATTTATTCACTGTGAAATAGCAAAAGTAAAGTCCTGAGCAAATGACCTAAACCCAGTCTGACTCCCCGCCCTCCTTATTGTGATGTGTACGTCAACAGGCAAGATTCATGATTACATTAAGCTAATCATAGAAGGAAATGCCGTTCCTGGTGCCTTAAAAGGTCTGAAGAAAACAAGTTTTTGTATGCCACTCTTTTCTATTTTACAGGAAAGAGCAAATTTTAATATATATTATACAATTTGTGAGAACTCTCTGTTCCCATTGTCGTAAAAAATGACAGTTTGATTGTTCCATTCTATTCTAAGCATCCTGAAAGGCCATAATATTAAAAAAGTTAGGAACATGCAGTTTAAATACATTTGAGTGATCCTTTCGGAGAACTTTAAAACTGAGGTAGCAGCTGTGGTCCACATGGACAGCAAAACCAATTAGACCACAGAAGGTTTTTCTGACGTGCACAGGTACCATACCCAGGATCCAAAAGATGGGCAGAAGTATTTTTAACATACAGTAAAGATTTAAAATCTTCCCTAACATTAAGCAGCCACAAACTCACAAGACTAGGTGAAAAAGAGTTGGAGAGATGGATTAATGGATCTGCAACTTCAGAAGTCAAAGTGTGGAAGGGACAAAATCATTGTAACATATTTACAGTGCCTACTGCTTCTTGAGGGGTGTGGGCACCTGTAGAAATTTCCTGGTACTTAGAAAATAAGGGTCAGAATAGACCTGTGATCCACTGCCAGGGATAATATTCTCTGTAGGACGAACCTTCAATGTTACCAACATTTTTCAGTTTCCATGCAGAAACTGGGAACATAGGAAAAGGTGGGATCTGTTGCAGTAGTACTTTGGAAAGAACATAGGATACAAAAGGAAGCCAACCTGTACTACTTATGAAGCAGCCTCTTTTTCACATAAAGTTTGTCATCAATGAAATCAAAAAGTAGGAAAAGCTACACAAGGTAAACTTGTTTTTCATTAAAAACTTTTTAAAAGGTAGTATCATTCCCTGATACACAAGGTGACATTAGAAAGCCTTTATATGTTTCAAAAAGCAGTGCAGAAACATCATAAACAAATGCAAAAAGTAATTAGTGAAGAAATTAAGATTATGACTGCAAATGAAATTGAAAACAGAAAAATTAAACATCCAAAAAGGAGCATTAAGAATGACAGTAGTGCAAGTGTACACTGGATTTGTACCGTGTGAACCAGGACTGGGACATTTAACCAAAGAGCAATCACCCTGCACAGATATAAAAAAGAGATTTTTTTTAATAACACACCAACCATCAGAATATTTTCATACAGGCATGAAAATATTTCCCTAAACTGAGAAAGTAGTATATCTCTAATTATTAAAGATTCAGATTATAAATTTACACAGGCAACAAACCTATACTAGAGATGAGAATTATGTTAATATTCCCTTTTCATAAAATTTTACCAGAACATTTGAACAGATTTTCACTGAGAAAAATATTTCCATAGTAATATCAAGAGGTTTGGATGATGATCCATGCAAGTTATGCACCAGACTCTGTAGCATGAGTGAAATAAACCTTGAGGATGAATTATATTCATCTAACTTTAGTAGTCTAAAAGGCAATAATACGGGATACTTCCATACTTAGATGAAAAAGACAAGAATTTCAAATATATGATTCTTTCCATCCAAGTTATTGAGAGACTCATCACTCCCTGCAGGCGAATTTCACTGTAAATATTTACATCATCTATTTATTAATTATTACTGATTCTGCTATATGTCCAATCCTAAATAGCAAGAATTGGGATTTTAAATTTAGAATCACAGAGAGTAAGGTATTTCTGGTGCTGCACAGATGCAATGAGGAGTGAGGTCCTCTGTTGTGCTGACTGAAATCTTAAAATTGGATATATATATATATATTAAAATGCACAGAAACATAAACAACCATGTTAAATATGTTCCATACAAGTAACTAGATACAGAGATTTATAAACACCATAGGCAAATAGTCGCAAATTTCTGAAATTCAGTAACATACATGATTTAGTAAGAGATATAACAGCAGGTTTAAATGGAACTTTCAGTAGAATTACCAAGTTTTCATCTAGTAAAAGATACGTCCTCTGTCTACAAACTTAGCCATTCTTATTTTCAAGTTTTAAAAAGCACATTGAAAATAAACAGTCTCGAAAAAATGTAAGTTAGAGATGATGAACCTATTTCTATGCTCATATATGAACTTCAATCTCTACATACATCAGTCAGGCCATGATGATTACTAATGTAAGATCCTGAATTGCTTCTAGAGTGCTTGGGAAGAGAAAGCATAATCTATAGACATTATCCAGGGTCAGCATAAAATTCTGATTCAAAAAAATATTCTATTAAAAAGGTAACAATTCAGTTGAACTACATGAACACTTTAATATATCTATTTGTTCCAAATCTAGCAACACAGTAAAATTCAACTGGCAAGCCTACAACTTGGAAAGAAATAGCAATACAATTTGGTTATAGGCTGTCCTTTATGTTCACATCTTAGCAGTCTACTTAACAATTTCATAAATATTTTAAACTTTTTTTTATTATTTGATAAGAAATTTTTTAAACCTGACTGAAGTTTATTTCTGATGAATAATGGCTTCTATAATTAAATTGGAATGGTTCATAAAGATCATGACTATGAAAAAAAATAAATTTAAAATTCCTTTGGGTGATTCAGTCATAAGATGGAGAACATAGTCTGGGATAGAATCCAATTTGATCTGCATAGTAATGCAAAGCCATACCCAAATTGCATTTTCTGAAGCATCTTTAGAAGAGAATTAAGACATTCCATATGTATGCTAATTGTAATGACAAGAGATGTGGTCATAGGAAGAACATAGTGCTGAAGGGAAGCAAAGGGGATGAGATTTAATAGATAGTTTAATTTTGTTTATAAGAAGAGCACACATCCAAAGAGACCATAGAAGAGAAAATAAAAAAAGTAAGAGTTAGTAGCTCTACATGCCACAGCTTTTCCTATAAAAAAGCATTCCTGAGGTAACATATTAGAGCACTGTCAACAACTTGATCAAAAGAGTTAGTGAAATCATCAATTATTGGAAAGCCGTGTTGAGTTTGGGTAATGGCATGTGGAATAGTAAAAAAGAAAAAAAGTATTTCCTTATCAAATGAAAGACTGTCAGTAGGCAGGAAGGTCCAGCATAAGCTGGGTTTTTTTTGTCCATCGCTGCTTATAATGGAGAGTAATGTGCTTCCATGGAGAACCAAGTGTGCAGGACAGTACAAAGTTGTCTGTGGTAAACCGGCAGTTCTTTAAAACTTTAAATTCCTAGGAAACACAAAACTGTTTACAATTTTTATACGAATTCTTTTGTGAATATCAAAATTCTTTAAAGCATATTGGCACGCCAACTTCTAGCTTTAATTTTAGCAATTTGTTAAACATATCTTGAAAAGACTTTTGACATTTACCAAATATCCAGTAAGAAACCTGTTTACATGTTCACTTCTTCCAACATAATCACCCCTTCTTTGTTACTCTTTATGTGCTTGCTTTCTAAGTAAAAATCTGCTTCATGTAATCTCCATAATGCTTTATAAAAGCCTAATATGCAATTTTGAGAACCACTTCAGGAATTTTGCTATTCACATATGACAAGGAGATTGGCAGGTTTATTCTATTTAGACTTGCCTAATAGCCTATGCCTCGTGCTTGTTTGAGTGGACTTCCATTAAACACTGAGAGATCTGCTTGGGTGGGTGAGAATAAGAAAAAATAAGATGTTTGGCAGCACATCTAGATCAGTTTAGAGGTTCTCCAAGGCAGGGATTTGTTTGTTACTTTTTTGTATCTGCTTTAGAGCTGCCGGTCAACAATTTCATTGCCAGTGTGCTGGGTGCTTTAGTGTTTTCCCCTCTTTTGTTCAGTAGAGACTAACTACTAAGGAGGCATGTATTTTATGTTGAGCATTCTATTGAACAAGGGGAGATAGATGGATATGAAAAATTTTCCTGATGTTTTAGGAGAGAAATGAGTTTATAATGAAGGGGAGCGGTTGCCTTAGGAAATGTAGGACACGATTTATGTTCTCTTAAAATAAGAAAAAGAATGGGAAGAAGTATTTTAAAGATGACTTGCACAACTTGTGATTTTTATCCTAATTCAGCTATCCAAAAAAGGTAAATATCTTGACTTAATAGTCACCAGAGACTAGAAGAAAGCTTTTGCATGTTTTTGGGACCTTTTTTTTAAACAATAATTCCCTCCCATTGTCCCAGACAACATGCACCACCATTCCTTTACTGTCTCAGGACTACTAAGTCAAGATATTTCGTTTTTTGGGTACCATGCAAGTCATGTTGGGTCATTTTAGTGAATATAATATTATCAAAATGACAAATATTGTAACAGATAAATATTTCAATTGTTTTCTTGCTAATTATTACAAGTATACAAGCAAAGTAGTTGGTCTGTCTTGAAGTTTGTAATAGACAAAATTTTTTGGTTTTAAATATCTTAAAGAATGAGTGACTTGAAACCAAAAAAACCCTTTTTAAAAGTGAAAGGACCAGTCATACTGGTATCTGTGTTCCACCCCTCTGGCACTATCTAATGATTACAAACATACAGATTTTTTAGTTTTATGTGTCATAGTGTATGCAATACTATCTGCAAAATTAGTCTCTACAGAAGATTTTGAAATGCTTACACACATATCCACACTCCTCCACTATAGATGAGACGATATGCATCTCTCTAAGGGAAAACTGTAAACATCTTTCTGCCTAAAATGGTTTCATATGCAAAAGGAAATTTGAATTGCTCTATAAATATTCATAAAAGAATTTCTGAATAAAGAATTAAATTCAACATCATAGTGCCTTTGTGGTCTTATTACATTGGAAGAGTTAGATTTAAAATTGCAAGTAGTTGTTTACACACTGTATTTCACAATCTTAAGGGCAATCATACTAAAATTATATATGGAACACTGGTAGTAATGAAACACTGCAAATATGTGTGTAACTACTTTCCATCTCAGTTCAAAAACTGCCTTACCTAAATTATTTTGTAACATTCGTACAGTCGTAGGAAGTTTTGCAAGTAAGTCTCTTCAACCATCCTAAGCCTAAGGTTCCCATAATTAGCAGGCACCCATACAATAAGTGCACATTCAAAGGAAAAGAAAAATTACATATTTGAGTTAACAAATTACATTATCTAAGTTAAGATCCAAAACAGCAGGCACACATTGACTGGAAAAATATAATGGTTAATAGTTATAATAGACCCTTTATAATAGTTTCATGAAAATACTGATTTCTTTAAAATTGTGTTTTAAAATAATACAGCTTCAGTGTTCACTGAGCTGTCATTTAGTAAACAAGTTACAGACTTGAATCTTTAGCAAGCATGAAACGTACCCCTCTAAAAACATATTACAGAGGCAGCTGTTGGAGGAATATTAAATATGTGGTCCTGTGGATACAAAGCCCACAGCAAAGCCATTAGAAGCTTTCAAGCGGTCTGGTACTTTACATTTTCAGTATTCTGTACTACGAGTTTTCTATGTAGCGAGATCTTTAACTCTAGCATGATCTTCATCAATATGTTCAGTCATACTAATGTTTAGCAGCTCTCAGACTCTCCAGATTGTGAGTAACTAACAGCCCTTTAGGAGTTAAAAGGAAAAAAAAATCTCCTACCTTTAGGTGCCACCTGTAGAAACTGCTTATGAAGATTAGTGAGTTGTGAAATAGTTAGAGTACTTCTAGAGGTTTTTATGCGTGGAACTTGTGGTGCAGGAACAGGGTCAGGAACAGGGTCAGGAAACATTTTCACATCGCCATTGATGAAGAAATCTGTTTCTTCTAAAGTCATTTCATATTGGATTTTGCTAGAACTCTCAACATGATATCGTGCAGCCTCAACCAGCTTTTCAACACTGCGAAAGTGTGAGTGAAGAAAACCATGAGTACTTCTAAACACACAATGTTAATAACATAGCTTTAAATTTTAATGTGTTTACACTTATAGAGCTTTTCTGAAATAAGAATTACAAATCCTCTGTGCAAATCCTGTAATCAGCAAAATCATTATGAAGACTACTCCTCCTCTAGCAGCATGACATCTTTTGACTACGGTAAGAAATTTATATAAAGTCAGATCTAGGACACAAAAGAGACCAGATGGAAAAATATGAAAGCACTTCCTAGGGCAGCATTGTAGAGAGGCATATGAACTCCCATTTCAAATGTAATGAGTACAATTTATAGAGGGAAAGACATTAGCTGTCTGTAACATCCAACTAGACACAGGCTTGGAGTGTCAGAAAAAAGGATATGATGTTCTGTAAATACCGTGTCTTTGGTAGCACCTGTTGTCAGGAGATCAAATAAAACTGGCTGGAAGGCAGAGGCTTTGCCTGCTTGAGCTACTGCCTGTTAAAGCCTTCACATCCTACATTCATGTCTTTCTTCTCGGGCATGCCCTGAAATGGATCAAGTAACACTGTCCCAGGTATGATTTAAAATTTAGTACAGGGCAGAAACATTTTACAAAGGCCAAAGTGACCTCTTTTCTTTGGAGAGTAAAAGCTCTTTAATTATATGAACATAGGTCATTCTATGCCAGATGGTCTGTGTCATACAGTGTCCAAAGTAAATTGCAAAGGAGAACTTTTTTTAATGGTCCTTGAAATAATTTTGAGAAATGATACAGAAAGTGGTAATAATGGTAGGTGGAATTTTCCAACATGTGTAAAGCACAGGAAACAAAATGATCTCACATTCCAAAGTGACAGAAGCTAGGGAAATTATACAGAGCCTTCTACTAAATGGAATAACTGGCTGTCTGCTTGTAAATCTGCCAAAGCTGCAATCCAGTAAACAGACTAGAAATATATAACAGAAAAATAGCAAAACTGATAATTACCTTTACAGTTATCAGCAGAACCTTCTAGGAAATCAGTTATTACCACTCAGGTATTGAAGATAAAATGAAATTTCAGTTCATGAAATAAAATTATTATTTTAAAATTTTTTTCCCACATTATTTCTCCTTATATAAACTACCATATTTACTACTATAGTCTAGGTAAAAAAAAATAAAATTGTTTAAAATTGGTATACATTACCTGGCCATTTCTTCCAGGAAGGTGGATCCAAGCCACTTTTCCATATCTCTGTAAGCCTCTTCTGCTTTCATTTTTAGGTCTTCAAGAAATGCTAAAGCTTTTTCTTTTATAAGTTCTAGTCGAGATATTGTGGCTGCCTCTGTTTAAATGGTAATGTCATAATGAGTAATATTTATAAAATTTTAGGAAGTTCTCAGTCTTAAGCACCTAAAATTTAGCGTGATTGCCTGTTTTTAGGCAGTAAAACACTTACTTAATTTCTCATATTCTTGAACAAGTTATTTTCTCAGAATCATCTCTATTGCATCCTGTATTTTACAAAAGTGTGTATTCTATAAGCATCAGAATTCACAAGGCAAGAAATAGCTTAATAAAACTAACACAGTGGTGCAGGGAATGTTAAAGTAAGCAGTGACATTGAACAAAATTAATACAGGAACAGACCTAAAATCTTAATAATACAAGTGTGAGTACTCTGTTATGAAAAAATGTTACAGAAAACACACCTAAATCATTACGTATGTTAATCACAAGAAAAGTTTGCTTTTCTATTTCTAACCTCCAACCCCTTAAAATTAACCTCACTTGCTCTGCCCCATGCTTCCTACATATCCATTTTACACCTTCAAACTCAGGTTGCATTAGAAAAGAGGTTGATAAGTGAGCACTAAGAAAATAATTCAGCTCTACCAAAATTATGCATAGAATATCTACATGAAAATTTTAAAAACATTGAGAATTTAATGATAATATAGTTTAATATGGTCTGCTGGCTCCTCTGGCACCTTATAGGACCTTCCAGTACCTAGAGGGGCCTTATTAGAAAGATGGGGACAGACTTTTTAGTAGAGCCTGAGCGAACGGAGAAGTGGTGATGATTTTAAGGTAGAAGAGGGTAGATTCAGACTAGAAATAAAATTTAGTGTGAGAGAACTGGTTACTGTAAAACATTGGAAGATGTTGCTCAGGGAGGTGCCCCATCCCTTAAAACATTCCAGGTCAGGTTGGGCAGGGCTCTGAGCAACCTGATCTAGTTAAATGTGTCCCTGCCTTTGACATGGGGGTGGACTAGGTGAGCTTTAAGGGTCCCTTCCTACCCAAACATGACATTGTATGATTTTAAGAACAGGATGCCAACTGCATGAAAAGACAGCTAAGGCAATATATTGAGAGATACATGGAACTGGCAAAAAGCCTTAAAAAAAAAAGACTAAGGAAAGAAGACCAGTAGATAGTGATTATTTTCAATCCTTAAGGCAAATTCAGTATTCAACTTGGTTTTTCTTCATATTTAACCCTCTGTATGACAGAATCTTTTAAATAAATAATATTTTATAGTAATTGGTACAGTGACTTCAAAGTTAAAGACTGTAACATTTTATATAACTTTATTTATTGCACATTCTATTAATTTTTATAAATACTTAGGTTTGGGGAGGAAGCCTTCTTTAGGCAACCAATGTAAAAAGATGGACTGCAAAAAACAAAAAATAAGGCATTGTTCTTTAAATGTGATATTGCAGTCACAGCATAATGCAACTCTGCACAATTTCTGTTTTGAGCAATAAAGAGTTGATGTCCAACATTTTAAACATTTGCGTCTCACAAAGGGTTTTTTAATTGACAGGAAAAAGTAAAGGTTCTAAGTTGAAAGTACCTTAGAGGATACTTCGTGCCTGTGTAGTCACCCTTCTATAGTACAGTTTAAGGCTGCCTTAATTGTGACTTCTCTGCACATTCTTTGTGAAGCTGCTATCAGTAGTTACAGATTTTTGTTTAGAAGTAGGCACTGCACAGTTCACCAACAAAGCTGCTCTCTTAACAGTAACAGAGTAAAAGGCAAGGTACTTTGATGCAACAGAGAAATGATACATGAAATCAACATTAAAAACTTAGCAACTATCCACAGCTAATGACTTTGCTAGACTCAGTGTAGCTGTATAAGCAAAAGAACAAGTTCCCAAAGCTGCAAGTGAAACTATGATTCTCAAACACCAACTACATGCCTGTGCAAATAGAAAATACAGCTCAACGTGTTTAGCGTTCCTTAGGTTCTTGGATTTTTTCAAATCATGGCTGGGCTTCGCGAATGAAGATTTGGGAAGGGCTCTACCCACGTTTGTTGCAAGCACGTTGGTGGCTAAAAAGGCCAATACGAGATAGAATTTTTTTTTTTTCAAATATAGGACAAAAATAAAGCAATGCAAAGAAAACAAAACACGTTAATGAATAACATTCATCCTCATGCTACTAGGATCTTCAAAGTTACTACTATTCTTCTCCTCACTACTCCAAAACCTTGAAATATTTATTCTTAGACTGCTTTTGTGTTAAAACATGTTGAAAGTGGTAGGTGTACAAGCACTTGATCTGATTGGACCTGAAGAAGCCTTATGAATTTGTGTTTTGTTCATTAACTGCTGTTTGCCCTCTAACTTTCATAATAAAATACTATGCAATAGTTAGCCCATCAAAGAGGTAACGTATGGTGATGGGCTTGCCAACTGCTGCCAGATAGAATCTGTAACAGCTAGGTTCTATCTTCCCTTTAGTGATAAAGAGGTATTTTTCTTTTAGTTTAAACCCATCTCAAAAAAAATTTTCAAACCTCTTTCAATCTAGGACTTCTTTTTTTCAGACATCTACTTTTGGCTGAATTGGCTTGGAAGTTATTGGATAAGACAGACAAAGAGACAGAATAACTGAAAAAATATGTAGTTTTTGAAGAGACTGTCTGTAAAGGAGCTTGGAAGAATAAAGAAAATCTGTATCCTGCTGTTTGAATCCCATGTGGCTTGAAGAAGAGGGAATCAGAGAAGGATATCAAGGAAATATACAACTGCCAAAAAATTCTTTCCCATATCAAAATATTTCAAATACTGAACTCAATTCAATTGAATACTGAAAAGTGGCTAGCCACCAATGCTAAGCCTTTACTCTCATGGCAAATATTTGCTTAGTCATGCCAAATTAAATTAGATGAAAAGAAACAGAGAACAAAAAGAATGAAAATCACATTTCTACTTTTAATATATTTATCACAAAAGCACTGGCAATTACTACCCTAAAAAAATCCTGATTTCTCCAAACACTACTCTCTTCCTTTCTTTTTTCCTTCTTATCCATCCATTTTCTCTAGTGTTTCTGGCTAGTTTTGACTATTACACTACCTAAATTAGGAATAACAATCACCTCCCAATATAAATAACCAAATAGTAACATACCCTCATGTTTCAAGGCACTCAGATGTTCTTGTTTTATTTTAAGTGCCAGTTCTTGTTTCTTTAATTCTTCTGGGTCTAAAGGAATTACACTGACTTTCTTCTGTGATCCTGTAGGAAAACAGACCTTTCAGTCTTTGGACTTTGCTAGTAAATTTGTGTATCAATACACAGGCACTTATTAGCATATTTTTTTTAAAGAAAAATTACACTTTCTGCTTTACTTGATGTGACCATTATGAGAACATGCAGGTGGGTGCTCAGCTATCAAATGTGATTTACATCTGCAAGTCATGCTAAGATTAACACTCCATAAACATACCCCAGCATATACAACTGTATTAAAATTGCTCAAAGGACATCCTAAAATGTATTTCTGAATGGAAAAATCATGACTGAGTAGGTGCGGCTCTGTTTTGACCCTAGATGGTCAGAATATCCTGTTTGACCCTAATATCTACCAATTTATCGCAACCAGCAGATAAATAAACATCTTTTGAATAACACTTGTTTCTTTATGTCTTTCCAAACCATTCTGTAATCTGCATTACCAGCTTGTTTTAACTTGTTTATCTATGAACAGATACTGTAAAGGTATTTTATAATGTTTTTAGAGATTCTGTAGCCATGTCACTTTGGCTATTACTCAAAAATATTAAAATGTTTGTAATTGCTTTATCCTAGAAGAAGAGCAGATGGGGATGTTACAGAAAAAAAAATAATGACATCTGCATGCTACATAAGGTCAACATAAAGCAAATGGTCAAATCAAGAAATGACAAAACTACATGTGCTAAATTGTATCACTCAGTTACTAGCCCACAGCTCTTTCCCAGGGAATTCTTGAGTCACAGGAACACTACAGTAACGTTGTGTTTGACATTAAATCAAAGTTGATACTTCAGTTACAAATCATCAGTTGACACTTCCTCTTCTACCAGGAGGAATGCACAGCTGAGTTCTCATTGCAGTTCTATCACTTTATGGTTTTGTGATTTCAGGTAAGTTGTCTGGTACCAGGTAGGAACAAAAATTTAGTTCCAAGAAGCAATCCACAAACTCCAACCTAGCCACTTAGCATACAGCAGGTGACGACTGCTAATTTTTTTCTCACAAAACTTTTCTGGAAGTCTGAAAATCTGCTACTCTCTTGGCTGGACTAAATGCTAAACTAAGCCTCCGGCTCTCTGGGGCTCACAGTTGGCTAAGTATTCGCAAGCCTATGCTTGTTCGACCTACTAAAGGCAGAATCAACCAGAGGGAGAGAACTGAGCAGAGTGCAAATTAAATGTCCGTAAAAGAAAAAAAGTCATCTGCTTTATGCACAGTAGTGCTATAGTTACAGCTTTCTCACTTGGAAATGGAGTACCTGATTTCAGGTTACCCTCACATCGCAGGGCATGAGCCCCTCTCTTGACATGTAGAATGTCTACACAAAAGATAAAAGATTCAGGCTACTAGCCTTGCTTCCTGCTGAAGTTAGGACATGTTGCAGGAAAAAAAAAGTGGAAGTTACATAAACCACTACCTGCACAAGGAAGTAGTTATGACAAAATGTATAAACAGCCTTGTACACCACAATCCCTTCCAGCAGACTGCCTGTTCCCCTTTTGCAAATAAATTAGGACAGTTTCTTACCAGGCCTACATTCGAGATCTCCCTCAATACGAGTTGCTTTTTTTTGAGACTATAGATGATATTAGATTCTATGTTCTTTATTTACACCACATTGCAGTTACACATAAAAATTATGGACATTGATTGATCCATGCTAATATATGGCTACTAAATTAATTTCAGTATATTTTAAGATACTGGATAATTTACTCATTCCATTCCAGTCCTATTATTTTAATTGTTGAGGAATGCAGTCAGTGCAGCTAGCTTTGGGAGCTGCAGGCTGAGTTCTGGGTGATGGGAGCCTGAGACAAGAGGCTGTGAACTGGCACCAACCCTTTGCAGAACAAAGGGCCCGGGGCCCTGCCAGGGGACTGGACACCCAGAGTCACAGCAGGAGACAATGACCCCAAACTTTCATGCACTTAGACTGTGAGAGCATAAGAGCCCAGGGTCTCCTTTGTTCAGGGTCCTTCCTTAAAGGCACCAGTTCAAGCTCTTATCCTGTTGTTGCACCATGATTAAATTATTTTAAGGATCCAGACGTCTGAGACTCTGCCATGGGAAACCTGGGATGGAGCCTGAAAGGAAACCTGGGCTGATTGTGCAAGTGTGGGCTGTGTAAGGAATCAGTTGGGGACCTGTCCATTCACTGGAGCTCCCTGCTTTGAAGAGACCTCAGTCCCAGCTCAAGTGGTGCAGAGTGTGACTGCCAGAGTGGCTCCTGGATGGTCAGACAGGGAAGTTTCCTTAATATTAATATTTGAAATATTTTGACTTATAGCTGGCAAATAGGCAGAATTTAATAGAATTTTATTTAATTTGATAAACTAGTTCTAACTATTCCATTCCAGTACGGAACATGGAGAAAAAATATTTATGTGCTATTTAGAATCTTTATTCCCACATATAAAGACAATATATATGTTTAAATAAATGTAATTGCCATTCAAAAACCTCTGCCCTTTTTTATCACTACCAGCTTTTTATACTGACATGTCACACTTTGCATTTTAAAAGAGAAAGTAAATACAAATTAAATATCTTGGCTTATTCATTTCTGTATTACTCACATATTTACATTTCAGTAATTTCAAGTACTGTTGAAACAAAGCTTGTATTTTAAATACCTTTCTTCTTAGTAAGTGATTTGGTAGAAGGCTTTCTGACATCTTTCCCAGCAGCTTTGCCTGAGCGTTTCGGATCTTCTTTCGGTTTTTGTTGCTGCTGTTCTTCTTCCTCCATTTCTCTAAACTCTATTTCAGCTGTTACCTTGACACCATAGTCACACACAGTACAGTACATAGCATGAAGTCTGTGCAATTACTGTTTCAAATTGCCTATATTTGCTGAAAGTACTTAATGATAAGTAGACACATAAATAAAGGAGATACTTTAACTAATCGATTAAACTTTGATTATTTACCAAAAATATAATTGTACATCAAAAATGTAAGACAGAGACAGAGTGGGTTTAATTCTGTAATCATTCCCTGTGCTCAAGGAAAATGTGAGAAATGCAAGAATCCACAGTACAGGAAGCAAGCCTAAAAGTTATGTGGCAAGGGTGCAGAAATTCATTTATTTTTAAATGATCACAGAGAAAAGAAAAATTAAACCTAGAGACCAACCATTTTAAAAGCTCACCTAATTTACTTTTAGCTATATAGAAAAAAGAATGTAACTATAGCTTTCAAGCTGTGAAAATTTTGAGCAAACACTGCATCACAGGACTAAAATTCTCCATCTTCTTACACTTCTACAGAGGGGGAAGAGGAGAGTTTGTCATGGAAGAACTAGATATACAGAGGCAACATTCAAAGTATTTCTCTCAGTAATGGAGTAAAAGGGTCAGTTATAAATACAGAGATGCTGATAACACACAGATTCCAACACTTTCCTCATAGAACTACAAAAATGTTCAATGGAAATATCAGCAGCAGAGCAAGAGGCATGAAATTGAGATACACAGTGCAAAGATGATGTGTTTAGGCTGCCTGCTGAATGGGTGGCTTTGAATGTATGATCCAGAAATGGTTAAGTAAATAAAATATTCCTTACCATATTTGATACTGCTGTTACTGCTTTTTGCCATGTATAAATAATAAGCCTTTCATCATTCCTGCAAGTAGCCAGTCTATTTTCAGAATTCTCAACGTTAGGACTTGCCTGTAGAGTTCTCTTGTTTTCTGTCTCAGCATTAATTTCTGGTGAAAACAGTTTCCAAGAAACCAGAGGAATCCTCAAAAATAAAATATAAGCAATAATTGACACATCCCTTTGCAAAAAGTGTTAGTAACCATATCAGAGAATATGCCAAAAAAATTAGAATGCTATTTTCAAAATTTCCAATAGCAAGAGGAAATGACCAAAAGTGAAGAAGAGTGTGTATGAGAAGAAAACTGTCCAGTTTAACAATTAACAGCTAAGGAATACAAACAGATGGATAAAACTACAGCAAATAACTGTGTGATTTGCTGATGAATTACACATGAGTTAGAAGCAGAGTTTTAATACTAAGACATTTTCTAAATGCACTGCAAGTAAGTTAAAAAGCAGGTGTCAATACTGATGGCATTTTTTATATTGTGAAATTATCTGATGGTATCCCTTACCTTTTAATATGGCATTTAGTTCTGTGCATCTTTGTAGGTTGCTTTGATTTACATTTGTCATTACACAACCCATTTAATTATGTTAATTGGTGCAAATTTTAAACCTGCTAATGTTCCACAATAATATTTTAACTTATTTATGTGAGGATTGTGCTGGAAATGATCAGCAACACAAAGGGACATAGGAAACATTTCTACAGTAGATTTACTCCTAAGGCAGCCTTTACATTTTACAGTTCAGGGATGCATTAGTGAAAGTGATACAGGTAAATCAGTAAAAAAATCAGGGGTACATATAACCTATAAGATGACATAAGATCCATCATTTGAGTATAATCCCTGGCTAAAAATTCTTGTTTCCCTATCCTTCTAAGTATACACACATATACTTCCACATTCACCCACAAAGTTATCAGTGCATTGTATTTGTTCATATTTGTATAATTTAATAATGCATTTCTACCTTTTTGATTTGTCTTCATCTTCCTTCTGCTCTACAGCTTCCTTCTGCTCTACATCTTTCTTATCTACATCTTCCTTATCTACATCTTCCTTTTGCTTTACATCAAAAATATCTAACAGTGGGATTCTAGTAAAATCTTTACTGTCTTCTGTTGGGATTTTTCCTTCCATTGACCTATAGTAGTCATGAAGAATTCTCTTTGTATCTTGGAAACGATCCATTTCAACCTCGAGAAGAAAAGACAGAAGAATTGTAATTCAAAATAGGACAGAACAAAGTTCTGTTACTTTTTTAAATACATCTTATCAGAAACAATTCTAAATCCTAAGAGTTTGAAGGACAGAAAGAAGCATAACCATTTATAGCGTACTCAATGCATACTTCTACTTGCATCTATACTGTATTCACACTGCTATTTCTAAGGAGTAATAAGAATCTTGGTTGTTAAAATAGCAAAAATAGGAAAAATCCTCTACAATAAATAATCACAGAATCACAGAATACGCTGAATTGGAAGGGGCCCACAAGGATCATCAAGTCCAGCTCATAGCCCTGCACAGGACCACCCCAAAGAGTCACACCATCAGCCTAATGCGTATTACATTTAATCACAATATATTTTGATGTATATATATTTCTATAGTAGCAAGTATGCCAGCATATTACGTGGATCTTCTTTTTCAAAGGAAATAAAATCCTTAATACCATAAAATAAAAAGGGCTATGGATGGAGAACATTTTACAAGTCATACAGTTTTTCTGGATCAAAGAAATCAACACGCTTTACACACCTAAGTGTCTTGAAGATCTTTTTGTGTGAATCATCTCAGAAGAAATCAAGTAAGATTCAAGAAACATTTAACACCTGTCATGTTTTGATTTATTGATACAGTATGGTGTTAGTCTCTAACTGACAAAACAGCACTAAATATTCATGGGAAAATGCACAAAACCACATTCACAAAACAAAGGATAAAACCTTTGTGGTGTAAACCAGTACTCATCCATAAGTTAAGGAGGAAATATATTCTATTATAACTGTGTGTACACAGAAAGATGGAATGAAATCTGATAAATGGCATTTATACAAATCTATATGTTCATGCAGTTACAGAGCCACCTGGGGAACATATGAAACTTTCAACAGAAAAACCCACAGATGGAGAGCTCAATATCAAAGAAACCTGTTTCTGGCTGTTTCTAAAAAAAAAAAGTCATTACATAAAGTTACAGTTATTATATTTTTAGTTCTGCAGTTTTAGGATTAATAATTCAGTTATTTTGGGAAGTATATACTAGACTAAAGAAAGAAATAATGTATTCCTTTAAATTTTCCTTTATGAAAATAAAAGCTTATCTATGGTTAATACATGTGTTTGTAATTTGAAAGAGTTACTCTGCATATACACACAAGACAGATCAAATTAGATTCACAGTGAATCTCCACTGGACTGCATCATATCTGTCCATGAAATTCTGTCAGAATCAGGATTGCAAAGTTATATATGATTATAAAAGGAGAATAATAAAATATTTAAGGTCTGTAACATTACTTTAATTTGTCTTCTTTATGCATATAATTCAAGATGGATTTTTTAAATAGTCAGGTCTATAAATACTCTAATTACAGGATGAATGTGGTTCAGCTAGTCAGGAGTTATTTGATATTTCAACCTCTCTCTTTAGTCAGTGGCCTTAAGTCTTTCTTTAGGGCATTACTTAGACTCTTTTAAAATGAAGTTAACAATTTACTTACTGCAGCAACAGACTGTTTCACAAACTTCATATTTAAATTACCATAACACTCATACGAGATAAGAGAGTGGCTCCCTTGTTTATTAAACATATAAAAATCACACAGAGAATTAAAGGCATGAAACCCACCCTAAACTGCTTAGGTCTGCTTTTTTCAGCTAAATCATCATCACAAGGTATGTGTTTAAAGCACTGTTTTTATTGTCTTCTTTAAAGTGCCAAAACTTTCACAGAATTTTCACTTCCATTTACAGAAAAGCCTGTCTAGTCTAGTCTATTCCAGTCCAGTTCTAAACCAAATTTATGCACCTAGAACAGAAGTAACAGGGAAATCTTACTTTACTGCTCTTGAAAAATTTAAGGTTAGATATCTGAAAGCTGGGTCATATTTGAATGGGTTTTCTCAAGAGCAACAAATGACATCTCAATATCAAAAACATACCTTGCTTTTTGGTTTTTTTTCAGTGTGTAGGTAAAATTTCAAGCCACATTGGTGAAGTTACAACTGAAATAATTTTGAGATACAGGAAATACTGTAACATCAAGTAAGTCAACAACAGAGGAGAATTATGTACTTCACAAATTAAATGGAGATGTCAATATGATTATAGAAGGATAAATATCTGTAACATTTCTGTTAAAAAAATCAGATTCACTGGAGTGATAAAATAGCAAAAAGTAGCACTGTATAACAGAGATTGAAAGTTTGGGGGGGTTGGACAACAACAATGGTATTTTTCTTAACCTTTCCTGCCTTTATGGAATGTCACCTTTTTGTCTCTCAGCTTCCCAGATAAATTCAGAAGAGACATGAAGATTTGCTTAACTAATTCTCAGTCTCTCACACATTTCTCTCAGGCTTACTGTCCTCCAAATCGAAGTCATTGTCCCCTTCCATTGCAGACTCTGTAGTGGTCCATACCTGCATAAGTGAAAAGAAATGGTTCATTGCAATTCCCCTGTGATCTGGCAGCCAGCCTTTATTCATGATATCAACACGTTCCTGCTCTGCTTCTTCCCTTCTGCTGACACAGATATCCCAGAGAAGATCTCTTAGGTCCTAAAACACAAAATCAAATATGATAACTAATTATGAAAGAAAACTTAAATAACTTTATTTTATATATTTATTATTAATTTTGGGGGGGGGGGGCTGTGTATAGAGCATTGTCTCATTTGGGGTTTTTCTTTATTGCCATAAATATCAAAGCCTGGTCAAGTCACATGCTTATAGAGAGCTGACAGAAAGTGGCTTTACAAATGTACCACAGAGAAGAATACAAAGACCTGAGTTCAATGTGCAGGCTGCCTTGCTTTTCCTCAGGCAGAGATAATCTATCTAAGCTAGACAAACAGGAGACTATGAATAGCTAAGCTCCCAACTGCACCAACTTTGCAGTTGGATGGTTTGCTAACCAATACACTAAGAATAATACTCTAAAGGGATGTGCAATATGAAAAATTCTGAGAAAATTATGCCAGATTTCAAGAGGTGTTCCAATTTGGATTACCTCCATGCCATTTTTCTCTAACATTCTTTTAATTAAGGGCTCTTCAACTAATGTCTACATCTAATAGCAGAACTATGTGGCTCACTGACAGCACTGAAGACCTACTAAGCATCAAACATCCTTGCAAATCCCTTGTTCCCTATTACCATCTCTGCACGGAAATAGCGTGAACAAACCACTATGTTGTAAGAGGTCATAGGAAGAGATCTGTTAAATGCAGTGCTAAGGTAGGACCAGATGACCTGTCTGTTGGGCTCCAAGCAGTTCCGCCTCACCTGACCTGTTCTGGAATAAAAAAGGTGTTAAGTGTTCCAGACTACAAGCCCTGCCATGAGGAGCTTAGCTTCAGTTGAGGTGATTCCATATTCACCAGGTTTTGGTCTCAGACTATTATGTCAAATCCTGTTAGTCTCTCCCTGTCCAAAGATTTCAGACAAATTCACTCATCCTCTGTTGAACAAAAGCCACAGGGAAGCTGACAAATAGGAAGCCCAAATACATTAGTGATGGCTAGAAGGTACTCAAGGTGCAGACAATCAGATATTCATCATTGTCCACATTGTAGAATATATACCTAAAGATATGCTGCTGAATATAAAAGTATATAAGCACACAACTTATCTGTTGGCAGTGGTGGGTTGACCTTGGCTGGCTGCCAGCTGTCCACCAAACTGTTCTATTAGTACTCCTCACAGGAAAGGAGGAGAAAATATGATTGAAAAGTTCATGCGTCGAGATAATGATGGGGAGATCACTCACCTCTGTGCAAAACAGACTTGATTTGGGAAAATTAACTTAATTTAATGCCAATTAATAACAGAGCAGAATAATGAGAAATAACGCAAAACTAAAACCACCTTACCCCGCCCATTCTTTTTCCCAGGCTCAACTTCACTCCTGACCCTTCTACATCCCACCTCCTACCTGGCACAGGGAAAATGGGGAATGGGTGGTTGTGGTCAGTTTATTATACGTTGCATTTGCCCCTTCTTCCCCCTTGAATTCTTTCCCTGCTCCAGAGTGAGGTTCCTCCCATGGGATACAGTCTTTCATGGATTTCTCCAGTGTGAGTCCTTCCCAGAGAATTTAGTAATTGAAGAGCTGCTCCAGTGTGGGTCCTTTCTATGTGTGCAGCCCTTCAGGATTGCACTGCTCCAGTATGTACACTCTATGCCCTGCCAGAACATCTGCTCCTGCCTGTGCTCTTCCGCACAGGCCACAGTTCCTGCCGGGAGCCTGCTCTGATGTGGGGTCTCTGCATGCCCATGGACTGGAGTGGTGAATGAATTCCTTGTTTTTCTTTGCTTGGTGCATGATTTTTGCTTTACCTGTTAAACTCTCTTTATCTCAGCCCACAAGTTTTCTAGCTTTTATGATTCTCTCCCCAATCCCACTGGTGGGGGAGGGAAGGAGTGGCTACATGGGGCTTAGATGCTGGCTGGGGTTAAACCACAACAGCATGTCAAAGGAAGTCTTGGCTGGCCTTTGGGCTTTAGGCCTTTAAGAAAGTTCTCGTACATCACAAGATGGGGTGGGATTTTATATTTTCCAGTCGATACCAGAGAAATTTTGTTTTCAGGTTTTACAGTTGGCCCTTTCTAGTGTTTTAGGAGAGGATCAGCTGAGATGACAGAGTTGAGCAGTCTAGGAGTTTGAGGAAAAACATTCTGAAGATTATCACTGCTTTCATTTCCTCTTTTTTTCTAGCATCAAGGAAGGATGGCTGACAGAATTCTTACAGTCAGGGACGTACAATGGGCATGGCCTAAAAGCATAGAGGAGGTATCATCTTCACAATCACCCAAAGGTTTGGGATCTACAAGGAATAGAATGGGTCACTCAAAGAAAAAATATCTGAAAATCATTTATTCACTCCAAAATGTTTAGCCTTATCACAGTAACTGAGTCTCACTGCATCATATGGGAGTACCACCTCCTCTTAACAGAATCTGAACTGGACAATGTCAAACATGGATTTCTGTTATATACAACAGTCCAAATATTTTAATTTTACCTTTCTAAAATATAGCACAGAGTGATTCCAGTCTTTTTATAATTCCACTTAGTAGAAATTAGGACTATGGATGATGATTTTTAAGTCCTCTAATTCATTCTATTGAAATAATTCTACAGAAAAGAAGGTCCATCTAGTGCTTTTTCCATCTCAGTGAATTTATCCACGATTCCACAAATGTTGCCTTTTACTAGCAACGTTGTCAGTATTCTTTTTCCCCTTTTTTGGGAGCATTTTTCCTGATACGACTCAACTAAAAATTATGTCTGTTCTGAAATGGGAATCTGATAAAATCAAAGACAGTTGTACTTTTGGCTTATGTTAAATCTGGCTATGTCAGAACTTTTAATGTCACAGATTTTTGTGAAGAAGAACACTCAGGACATATATGACCTAGCAAAGATCTACCTGAATCAAAACATTTCAAAGAAATTCTCTGTACTTTGTATGAATGAAAGAAAACATATATTACCATATATAACTTATGGAAAAACTAAAATCTTGCCAAGATTTGTTAGATTGTGATAGAAATGGCTAAACTTGTAAAATCTCTGAAACCCATCAAATTTAAAGAAAAAAAGAGCAGTGTACCATGATACCACAGTGTAACCTAAAAATTAAAGCAAGACTTAAGAATATTATGGCCAAACAACAGAGAAATAACTGTGAAGAACACTTTATGCACAAGAGTAAATTAAATAGTTTAAGAGGAGTTGTAAAGAAGGAAAAAGAAGTAAATAATATCGGTCATGTCATATCAAGCTTGTATACAATGAATAATAGTCTATGATATATTGTAACTTTTGCCATTTACTTACAGTAACTCTTTGGTGTAGTTCAGCTTTTGTTTCCTCATCATCTCGCAAGTCATCAGAAATCGAATTAAAATCTGTTTGCCACTGAGATACAAACTCCTGCTTAAGATGTGGACGTTTCAAATAATCTTGGAAATTTTCTCTGTAAATTATGGTAAAATAATTTTGGTGTTAAATGACATACAGAATGCCATATGAAAAATAAAATACACTAACATTTAAGGTAATAAGATACTATTTCTACTCACCTAATATCTGTTATGTAATGAATCATCGCGTATTGTTCATCTCTTAGGCATCTAAGTACAGTTTTGATGGTATTAATATATGTATTTTCTATCATTTCCCAGTAAGGTACTAAAAAATCAATTATCTCCTGTGAATTTTTTAAAAAACATCAACATTAAATGATATATTTCTTGGTAGCTCATTTATCCGTAGCATTAGTAAATACATGAAAAAATTATTTCGTTAAATCATATTACTTTTTTTCCACTATATATTTTTTTTGATTTACAACTGATCATAGACATTGTAACAACATATAGTTTTATCCTGTGCATTTCTTTGAAAAAATTGGCAGGTCTCAAAAGGACTGGTAGGTTCCAGCAGAATACTCCAGTATCTATGGTTTTGGATATGCTCATAAACTAAGTGATGATACTGAGTGAATACTGAAGTATGAAAATTTGGTCATTTCTGTTTGAGCTTGTAAAGATCTAAGCTGACCGTCCAGTGTTACAAAAGTGACGTTTCACTGACTGACTGTCGTGAAATATAAATAAAGCCCATGGTCAGAGGAAACCAAGCATAAGCAGTCATGAAGGAAAAACTGGTAAATATTAAGAAAGGAATTAGTAACAAAATTTCAAGTTTCAATGTCCACCCTCGAAATCTACATCCGAAAAACTGCATGCAGTCCCGGCTTCCCATCTCCAAAGACTTACAAGAGAACTAGACTAGATTACAACTGGATTGGAGAAGAAAAGCAACATTGAGCAACATGAACATATAAGAGATGCCAGTGACACATCTTAAATACCTTCAGAGAGTGATTATAGAATTATTATTCATTGTACCTCACAATTCATGAATTAGAGTCATCAAATTCAAGCAAAGAATGGTTTAGAACAAAGAGAGAGAAACTTTTTTTCCGAATTAACATAATTATGCAGCCTATTCCATGGAGAACAAAAAGCAAATTGATTCAAAAAAGCAACTAAAGCAGCTAAAACACAGAATCATGAAAAAAAAGTTTATTGAGAGCTACTAAACATTAAGATGCAGATACAAAGCAACTTCAGGAAAGCTCTAAACAGATCACTGGAATCTAGAAAGATGCCTTTGGAGAAAACAGGTAAGGAAAAAAGTATCCTAGGAGAAAGATTAGTGCACACACTCCCCATTCTTACTCTTTGCATGAGATCCACAGCTGCCCCTTGTCAGAGACAGAAAACTGATCTAGTGAGTCTGTATCAATATATCACAACAGTAAAATGGATTATTATTAAGAACACAGGCATCTGTGTTCTTAATAATAATTCTAAAGAACTTAGAAAGAAAAATCAAAATTTTAAAGTATGTTCCCTTATTTTATGTATTTTAGAAGGAATGATTGTTTGTATATTATTTATCACACAGTACTAGCTTAACGTACATTGAAAAATACTGAAGAAAATAACATGCACTGATGTAAAAAGTTTAAGTAGAACATACATAGAATACTAAAAAAAATATGTACTTTGATATTTAAGACGTTTAATCCTGAATTAACATACCTGGGGAAGTGGTTCATCTACATAAATCCATTCATCTGATCCTGGTTCTATTGGTGGTGGTGGTGTCTCAGGAGAGGGAGGAAGCAGATCATCTGTAACTGGTAAAGGCTTTTCTTCTGTAACTGGTAAAGGCTTTTCTTCTGTGTCTGGTAAAGGCTTTTCTTCTGTATCTGGTAAAGGCTTTTCTTCTGTATCTGGTAAAGGCTTTACATCTGTATCTAGTAAAGGCTTTTCTTCTGTATCTGGTAAAGGCTTTTCTTCTGCTGGTGCTATTTCTTGAGTAGACCCTTGATATAAATGTACAATTAGTACCTTCAAACGTATTTTAAGTATCAATAAACAGAATTAGACACGTATGCTACTCTGACAAGTTCAAAATAATGGGACAGATTCACTATTTCATTACTTAGATGCTGTTAATCAGAAAATATACTCATGAAATCAGCAGTGCTCAAGGAGGATTGGGTCAGAGAACAGCTAAACAAACTTGACATCCACAAGTCCACAGGCCCTGGCAGAATGCTCCATGAGTGCTGAGAGAGCTGGCAGACATCATAGCCAGGCTGCTCATGATCACCTTTGAAAGGTCATGAGATCAAGAGGGATGACTGAGGACTGGGAGAAAGCAAATGTCACCCTGGTCTTCAAAAGGGGCAAGAAGGACACAGGGAACTACCAGTCAGTCAGCCTCACCTCAAATCCTGGAAAGGTGATGGAGCACCTCACCTGGAGGCCATCTCTACTCACACGGAGGACAAGAAGGTGATCAGGAGTAGTCAGCATGGAGTCACTAAAGGTAAGTCATGTTCCACCAACCTGCTTATATGAACCTAATAGTGAAGGACAGCTTGGAAGATATCAACATAAATATGAAATTAAACATTATTAATTGGCCACAGGGATTATTTTTCCATAGGGAATAAATAGTCCTTTACAGTACTTCTATACAATAGCTGGATTCTAACTAGAAAATCTCCACTCCATTTGCATCAATAGGAATTTTGCCACCCACTCCAGCAGGGCTATTAATTATACCAAGCATGTAAAAAAACCTCAATTCCAACTAGGTAGCTTTTTGAAAACACTCTATCCAATTTTCTGTCAGCTGTGGTATTTCCAAGAATTTTTCATGAACTAGAGACCTTATGCATGAGTAGTGGGATAAAATTTTACTGTAAAAAGTACTTTTCCAGTTAATTCTTTTTTTTTCCTTTTGGCGGTAGAAGACACATCAAGACTTTCTCATAATAGCTATGAAAAAAACCTCTGATTATTCACAGGCCTACTTGATGTATTTGTTTCCCTGGATACTTCACCTATTTTTCCTTTTTTATTATTTTCTGCTTGATTAAGAAGAGAAACGGAATAAAGATGTACCAAAATTCATATCAAAACCACTCCTAGTTATCCATATTTTTATGCTGCTGCTGCTGCTAAATGAATACATTTTGATAATGACAAGTTAGACTTTCTTATACCATTATGCTATACACCATTGTATCATTTTCATAGGATGAAAATGCTATCTGTAATTTTTAATCCAGGAAGAAAGACTGAATTTAATGCTTTAATTTAAATTTTATGTGAAATTGGTCCATATCCTCTGAAAAGGTAAAAACACAACAGAAAAGTTCAGGGTACTGGTTCAGGTATCACTAACTCACACAACTCCAAAGTCTTCCAGGGGCAGCAAAAATGCAGGTTGCCATATAGTGTTATATAGTAATTACTAATTATAGAGAAGAAAGTCTTTTGTTACTGATGTCTAGAAAGTAAGAACATGAAAACTTACTTCTATTCTGGTTTTTCGCAATTTCTTCCATTATAATTTCCTTCACTGTTTCACACACATGACTTTCTTCTGTCTCTGCATTTACACTCACTAGAATATTTTGATGGACTGAAAACCATTTCTCCAATTTTGGCCATGTGTCTAGAAAGCCTGAAATTCTACAAAAATCATATTAATGTATGAAATTAAAATCTAAGTAGTGGAAAATCAAACATTTTTGAAAATTAGCAAACAAAAGAAAAGGCAGACCATCTCAACACTAAAACAACTCCATCCACAACAAACTCTTCATTTTAAACACAGGAAAATTTTCAAAATCCTTCTGTTAGCTAGTCTTTCTTCCTCTTTCTTGTCACAAGCTAAACCTACTTTCCTATAGCACAACTAAACCAATAATAACAAATAATAGTCCGAAGTAGTTAGTATTATCAAATATTTAGAAACAAGACTTGTTGTTCTTGATTTTGCTCTTTGTGTAAAGTTAATAATCTAGTGATTTAATTAAAATTGGAAAACTAAGTGCTTTTTATAAATGTAGAAATGGAAAATAGCATTTTAGAAAATCTCTAACTCAATGTATTTCACCCAAAGGCAGTTACATCATGCATGCCATATAGATATATATAGATACAAATATGTATACATATAGTTTATGCAGTATATATCTGAAGACTAAATTCTACCTGGAAGAGTAATTTGGAAAATCAAACCACATGAATTCTAATTTTCTAGGATTATTTATATTGTGCAAACAATGAAAATATCCTTTAGGCTTCACATTAGAGAAACACCTAAGTAAGTTCTTTAAATTAAGCATGTCACTATTGTCATGGATCACATATGAGATTCAAATTAGTTATATGCCTAAACATCTACTGGAGCAACTTTTTTGTACTTCATATAACTTACCTATGTACGACCTGGTCCTTGTCCAAGTCAATCCTCTCTTCTAGGATTTCAGGATCTGAATTTTGATCACTGTTCTCCTGTTCAGTTTGAGATGACTTTGATTTATCTACTGTGTGGAAAAGAGCATATACGAGCATATATCGAAAAAGGCAATCATTCAGTTATTTCTGCAAAGTAAGATAATTATTATAAGAAAAATTTCAGTGGTCCTTGATCTTATACTTCTTCATTTAAAAATTGAGTATCGAACTTCCTAAAAGAAAGGAGAAGTCAGAGAACATTATAGAAATACAAAATCAAGCTGTAAAGGACTTAAAACCACTGTCTTGCCTCTTCCTTTTAAACGCATAGCCAATTATAGCACTAACATTTCCTAATGCATGCTTTGCAGGCACAGAAATCTCCAGTTGAAGAGATGGAGCATTCCTGTGGGCAGGCTATTTCAGCCTTATCTACTCTACCAGTTAGAAGGTATTTTCCCTGTCTTATCTGAATCTTCCTTGAAGTACCTACTTCTTTCCACAATGAGCAGATATTCCTGCATGAAACGACAAGGTATTGTCTCTCTCTGAGTCTTTTCTAATTTTAAGAAACCTTTAATTCATTAGAAATAAGCCAAATTTAAAAAATTCTGATATATTGTTCTTTTGACTGTATCACCACATTACATAACATGAAATAAATTCTGTTTGTATTTCTGAGATTACATCACGCATTGTCACGTGTTCCAATTGTTTTGGCCAAACAAGATCTTAAATTTATGAAGAATTTCAAGTGTCTATACATTTATCTTCACTATGTTGTTAGCAAGAACTCTGAAAATTTTGTCTCATCCTCACTCCTACATCTACATAGAAGTTAAATGTAAATTGTGCTTTAATTTAAGTTATATGCCACCTGTGTGCTGCAGTGAAAATAAAGAAGAATCTCCTATAATTTTGGATAATATGGGACATATTAATGAAAAAAACTTATGTTTTGACAACGTGTGTTAGGGTAATTTAAAATGTGTAGTCTGAAAGTGAAACAACTCTCAAGAGGCCTTTGAGGCTTTTGTCTTGGTTGGCCTAAAATGACAATTTCTGATCATTCGCTGACTAACTGAAGACAAGACAGAGGCAGTAATCAATAGGGAATTAATTTTGGCACTCTCAGAGAATGAATATTGGCACATCCCTCTGTTTATAATTTCCTTCATCCCTTTCCAAATGTGTTTCCTGAAGAAAAATACTATTTCTATACATTTATCTATATTGAGGGATATTTCTGCATCTGTTGTAACTTGTGTTTCTCCCAGCTGCTGTTTTATGTGATATCTAACACCAGCCACTGTACTATCTCAGCTCCAGTGAGAGTTCAGTACAAATGCAAAAAAGCATATACACATCCACTTGCATACTTCTGATTCACCTTTGACTGAAACAAACAGAAGTATTTGAAATAATAATTCAAGCCACAATTAATGAAAGTGATACTGCGAGATGTAGAGAAATTGTGCAGTAATGCTATTTTTCATTGGTAAGTACAACTTACAGATATCTGCTTATCATTTTACTTTGGTAATAGTAGTTGGAAACTTACACTTCATGTTAGCTGCACGTTTCAGTACCACAGTGTCTGAAATATCCAATAATACAGAAACATCAAATGCAGGTGAGGTAACAGGAGGCTCGTTAGGGGCTCTGGGATCAATAGCAAGTGAGAGCCTTCCAGGAATTGCCTCTTTTTCCTCTGGATCATTCCCTGTATAGGCTTTGTCAAATAGCTTTGCCTGATTAATAGTCATTGGAAACCCTTCCACAATCCACCCCTTCTCTGGTGGTATTTGGCTAAAAGTAAATGAAGAACCAGAATTATACTGTGAATTGATAGCATAATAATAAAAACTAAAGAAGAGCTTGCTCAAGCAGTCTTTCATTATTAATTCAGTATATTAAATATACTGATGAATACAGAATATGACAGATATTATTAAACTGTAAATCTGAAAAAATAACTCTAAGTTTAATTAAAAGTGAAAAAAAATCAGAAATAAAACTATTTTTGCTGTCTTGATAAATAGAATTTTCAAAACCTGTATAGGAGCTCTTTTTAGAAGTATAATTTCACTGTTTTCTCACTAACTTTTGTACTGAGGTAACAAATAGTAAAATCTGTTCTGTAACTCTGAAGTATACTAATGGCAGTATAACTTAAATCATATTCATGCAGGAACTTCAGTGCTAAAGGCACATCAGGGTAGTTGAGACAATTGTCTGTCAAACAAGAGTAGACAAAACCAAGTGTTTATATAATCTCATACTTAATGGCTTCCAACAAGAGGTCAATTAGTAGTTCATCAGGAATACTTTTTCCTTTCTTCAACCATTTCTGCGATGCGGCACCAAGCTGGGCACGTACAGACAGCTGTGGAAGAGTGCACTGTATGCTCAATGTTCACAACAGTCATTGTCAAAAAGAGTATGATTTTACTTTTTGTATTACATACTATTTATTTTTTATTTTTTTTAATTTATATTTAACAGGGTTTCTTTTTCTATTAAGGAGAATAGTTCTAACTGTAAAAAATGCATAGTTTAATCAAAATCTTCATCTGATTTCCATCACTACATTTGCAACAATGCCAAAAGAAACATGGTTGAGAAACAAAGGATATGAAGGTCAAAAAATAAAGAAGTGTTCTGGTTCTAAGCTTACTTTGATTGATTTTCACTACCATAAATCCACTGATGGTTTCCTACGTAGCATATCAATTCATTAATTCTACAGAGATTCTTTTGTATTTTAGCTTTTGAAGTATTTCTCAAAGAGCACTAAAGTCAAAGAAATTGTTGTAGAATTAAGCATTTTTAATGTAAAGGAAAGAAACATTGTCATTGAATAAATTATCTGCTTGGCAGTTGCAAAATCAAGAATACAGTTTTGCTAACTCAGAAATGACACAGAAAATACCATATCTTCTGTGAATTTGAGATTTAACATGAAAATATAGAACTTCGACAATATGTATAACTCTCTAACCAACATACAGAGGAATAGATTTTCATATTTCATACATAAAATGCTTGCAGTGAGGTAATAAAATTTAGAATGATGAAAAGGTGTAACCTTTTAATTAATTTAACCATTTTAATTAATGCTGCTTCATAAAGTAGAAACTAAAATTGGTTTACAAACCTTGGATAGGCCCTCTTGACTGTTCTATAACAGAAAAAACCAAGACTGTCAATTCAAGTTGACTCTTGAAGTCTTACGTCATAATGTAGAATTAAGTTTGAAATTGAGCAAAAATTGAAACATGCTTTCTTCCTTACATATTTCATTCTCATCTACCTGTTGGAGCCAAAATGAAAACTAAGAAAAATGCTTACCTTATTTTGTTCCCCAGAACTCTTTTCATGTGGAATCATATCATGTTCACTTTTCATTTCATTCTTAAGAAAAGACTCGATGGCCTCCCAAACCAGAGTATCGACAGATAGTACCTGAATATTGCAAACTAATACACAAAAAAATTAAATAACTTTGTAGTTTAAGTTGAGCCTACGCAGAGAAACTACTACAGGCAGTTAAATTAATACTATAATAAACGTTGTTTCCGCTCTTTCTTCTCTCTAACCACTGCAGTCTGTATCTACAATCACTAGCCACCTTGCCAGTCTCCTCTAAAACAAATAACTCCAAAATTTACCAAAAGCATTTTCAAATTTGCAATGCAGAAGTAATACTATATTAATACTACTTTCAGGGTTGGGTGTTTCTAATCTTATTTTGTAAGATAATGAAGGAATGATATGCAACCAACCCACATAAAATACAGATGTACCTGAGGTTCAAGAATTAGTAATTCAAGGATTTGCCCAAACAATTTTTATTGTAAGAGTGAGATTTTAATACAAATAAAAGTTTCAAAGAATTTCAGGCAAAAAAACACAAACAACCTCTACCTTTTTCAATAAACTTCGCACAGGTAGTTTTTCCACTAAAAATTTTTCCCAAAATACATCCCTTGACAGGAAATGAAGTAAGTATACGTGGTGAAGGTTTGGGTTGTGGAGGATAGAACAACTCCATCAGTCTACGAAGCACATGACCCAATATGTTATTATTAAGAGGAGGTTTGTTTTCACTGTTCTCTTCAGTTGGACTCCATGCCCCTGTCATACTCTGTATAAATGACAAATTAGCAAATCATGTCTCAATATGCCTTGTATTTCATTTTTCTAGATATATGTATTTATACACAAATACAATACATAAAAAAACCAAATTTGAATAGTATTAAATAATAAAATATTTTTTAGAATAGACCCTTGTTAAAAGGTATAATTATATCATAATCATTAAACATGTCTTGATATTCACTAATAACTAGTTAAGAGACAAGTACTCCTACAAACACTTACATGGGTTCTGTGATGTTTTGCCTCTGGCTGGATGCCAGGTGCTCACCAAAGCCACTCTATCACTCCCCTAACCAACAGGACAGGGGAGAGAAAATATAACAAAAGGTGCATGGGTTGAGATAAGGACAGGGAGGGATCACTCACCAGTTACCGTCATGGGCAAAATGGGCTCAGCTTGGTAAAATTAGTTGAATTTATTACGTACCAAAATCAGAGCATGATAGCGAGAACTAAACTAAATCCTAAAAAACATTTTCCCCTCACCCCTCCTTCCTTACTAGACTTAGCTTTATTCCCAATTCTCTACCTCTTCCTGCTCAGCACAGCGGGGGAACAGGGAATCACATGTTGTTTCTGTTGCTTCTTCCTCCTGATGGAGAGAAGTTCTTCCCTTGCTCCAGCACGGAGTCCTTACCACATGAGCCAGTCCTCCCTGAACATCTCCAGCTCAAGTTCTTCTCATGGGCTACAGTTCATGAACTGCTCCGGTGTGGGTCCCTTCTATGGAGTGCAGTTCTTCAGGAACAGGCTGTACCAGGACGAATCCCCCATGGGGTCCCAAGTCCTGCCAACAAACCTGCTCCATTGTGGGCTCCTCACTCCACAGGCCACAGATCCTGCCAGGAGCCTACTCCAGCACAGCCTTCTCATGAAGTCACAGCCTTCTTTTGGGCATCCACCTGCTCTAGTGTGGGGTCCTCCAGGGGCAGTAGGTGGATCTCAGCTCCGGCACCTGAAGCACCTCCTCCCTGTCATTCTCCACTGACTTTGGTGTCTGCAGAACTATTGCTCTCACATATTCTCACTCCTCTCTTCTGTGGCCTCAATTACTTCTCTGTGCAAAACCTTTTTTTTCTTCTTAAATATGTTATCACAGAGTTGTCACCACCTCAGCTTTGGCCAGTGGTGGGTCCAACTCGGAGCCAACTGGCGTTGGCTCAGTCGGATATGGTGGAAGCTCCCAGTAGATTCTCAGAGAACCCACCTCTGTAGCCCCTCTGCTGCCAGGACTTTGCTGTGCAAACCCCCAAAAAGATTCCTATAATCACTTTTTTAATTCCATAAACATGAAAAATAATTTCACCAATACCATAGAATTAATCAGTAGCAGATTTTTGTAATAGAAATCCAATATTCTACCATTCTGCCTTCTAAAACTGGGCAACATTACTGTCCAGTATCCCACATAAATCTTTGAAAATTTTATGGATAGATTTCAAATATATATTTGCCTAGAAAGCATTCAAAAGAGAGAAAAAAAAACCAAACCCAACAACCCAAATCAATTCAAACAATTTAAGGTAAGGAAATTCTGAGTAGAAACTTCCAGTTCACGTACTCTGAGATCAATAGCAATTTATGATTTACCAGTGTACAGCTTAATGAGGTTTTGCTAGTAAAGATCCTCTTACTGAGAATCACATCAGAAGAAAGATAAGAATGGAAGGATGTAGTCAAAAGAACGGAACACAGAATTACACTTTTGCCACTCTAATATATACTCTACCAGTATTGCATCTTGTAGCACTAGCAAAGTTTACGCGCAGTTTATGCTGTAAGAAGTTGAAAGACAACATTTTAATATGCAGGATAATACTAGTCCTGTATTAATATTTATTTGGTTGCAGCATACTAAACACCTGTTTGGAAGTTATGTTGACTAATAATATTTCCTGTTAGATTCTAGCTTGTCACCTCATTTGGGGTGTCAATAAAAGGTTGACAGGTAAAGTCAAAAGTTTCAGCAAGAGAAATGCCAAGTAGGTAAAAAAATGATAAAAAAAAATTGTTCACAATGAGAGTGGTTAAACATTGGAACAGGTTGCAGAGACTGTTGAATCTCTATCCTTGAAACACTTGGAAGTTGACCAGACAAGGTGTTGAGCAACCTTATCTGACTCAGATGTTGGCCCTGCTCTAAGGAAAGAGGCTGAACTAAATGACTTTCACATCTCGTTAAATGCAAACAACTGTGTCATTCTATAAAATTATATATCTATATATTATATACAATAAATATAGATGTCTATCTCATATATATATGTACACACATATATAAAATTAAATATTTCATCACCATCAACAAAAGTGAAGAGTTTTAAAATTCTACTGAAAGTTAATGTTTTGAATTCATATTCTGGATAGAATATGCAACCTTTTCCTGAATCTACTTTCTGAATGATGTATTGCGACACCATACATTCTACTAATAGAATTTGATCACTGTTTATTTTGAACATATGTGTATTAGATAGAAAAACACGTCATTATCATGCTAAATTAAATTTAAAATAAAATTTCAAATTAATAAAACAAAAAAAAAATTCTTGAGTTGCACAATATCTCCTTTCCAAAATATCTCAGAAAACATACTTCTTCATATGTAATTGAAAAAACATCCTTAAAAACCCCAAATCCTTATACTATCTGAACCATTTTTCCTTAACCATGTAAGTAGAGATGGATCAGTTGTTTAAAATTTTATTAGACTTCTGAGAAAAATTAATTCCAAATACAATGGGTTCCCTCACCTTTTGGCTCTCTTGCCCTTTTAACCAGAAAATTGCTAGACTGTACCTGCCATGAGGTAAAGAAGTTTACCTGTCAGAAACAAGTTTTCAGGCATCCAGGTAAGCATTATATAACTCCTGGTCAATACTTTCAAATGAAACGAGAAATTATTTGCTATTTTGAGTAGTATCTAATGTTATGCTTGTTTGGGGTGATTTATTATGTGATTAGCCATGACTGATAATATGGTAGTTTCCAAACACTTTCATGCTAAATCTAATGTCTAATATGCAATGGACTGATAGCACTGCATTTTCTTGTATTTTATCAAATATACTTGATACTTTTAGTCAGTATGTAATGTAAACATAGTATTCTTGAGAGATGCCAAACTGCCTGCCTTGGGCTTTTTACAAAAGGTTTAGGAAAATGAGCATGAACATTGCCAGAATGCCCTGTTGATACAGTTTTACCTAGAAGCAATACTTTGAAGGCATTAGCTGTTCACTTAGGTTTTCAGAACACATAAGTATGAATCGATGCCAACAATTTTACATGTCATATTATACCAGCTTTTCATGAATAATGATTCAGAAAGGCATAAGACTAACAACATCTGTGAATAAATTAATTACGTGACTGCGCATTTGAAACAGCCTGGCAGAAAAAAAGAGGCTTTAAATGTGTCAATAAATCTTTGTGACCTTCACTAATGTTACATCTAGAGAGGACTTTATAATATAAACAATATGACTGAAAACTTAAGTTTTCATTAGTGCTCCCCACTGTTTCCTGCCTTTCTATCCTGTATGTCCTTCCTGTTTACTTTGGGTATGGGCCTTTTTTTCACCTAAAGAAAGTGATCATGAAGTTCATTACATGAGTTGGTATGTTGTGAATAAGGACCTTAAAAAGAGATACATCAGAAAAACGTTATGATCGAAGCCACAGAAACTCATAACTTTTATACTCATTGGAGTATAAATCAAAAGAAAACGTACCAATTGGCTCAGGAAGTGAATAAAAGCACATATATATTGTAGTTATAAATTCCCAACAAGATAAAGACAGGTTATTTGCCATGATTTTGCCACATTCTATTTATCAACTTATTTGAGGTCTAAATATGTAATGGGATTTTTTTTTTCGAAGAAAAGCACCATTAATGTAACTTTGAAAAAATTGTACAATATATTTTAACAGGGAACTATTCATCCTTCATCTTCAAATTTTGAAATTACACTAATGCGTTGTAAAGTTGAAGAAAAGTTTTAGGGTACCCTGAAAAATAGTTATTTCTATTCCAACAGAAGGTTAAGAAAAAGTCAGCCATTTTTAATAATTTTCACAAACATTACTATCTTAAAATGAATGGATCACTCAAACCAATAAATCTTGTTAGACCGCTTTCACTCAAAATTGCTGAAATTAAGACTTCTAGTATTGTAACATATATAGTATTTAATTTTACTGCTTTTACTTGTTACTTTCTGTTGCATTTTCAAACCTGGTAATATAAACTACACCTCCAAATTCTAATTGGCTGAAAATGCAAGGTGTATTATCTTCCATTATGTATTATCAGTTTGGTGTACCTTGTATTCACCATAATCTTTTTCATCTAATAGACTCATTTTATTCATCTCTGCAAGTTGTTCTGGGCCAGGTTCATTTGGCAAAGGTTGAATTGAGGCTTGTTCATATATTGGTTTTCCATTTAAAAAAAATTCCTTCCAGTCCAGCATCAGTTTTAATGGAACTCGGCTGCAGGAAAAAGAAAAACAAAACAAAACAGTTCCAAATCAAAAATTAAAGGGTTAGATGTTTGAAAATGGTAGACCCAAATTTATAAGAATCTTAATCATGAAACAAGTACATGCTAAGCTAGTTATAGCTTATAATGCTCTCTGTAATTATTACAGCTTTTTGTAAATGTTTGTTTACTTTTAAGACAGCTGTAGGCACTTGTAGGCTTCAGTACTTTCACAAATGTGTTATCACACAACATTTGGCTGGCAGAGCTGTGTAGTAACAGTTTTGGTATAGCTATTTTTGCCAGCCCCAAAACATTCTTAGTTTTGTGGGGTAAAGCCTCCTCTTGCCAAAAATCTATAGAATGTTTTTACTGCAAGTTAAAATTAATTTAGAATTGTATGAATAGTTAAACTCCTTTTTTTTTTAATTAGTAATTTCACTAAATTATGTCTAGGCTGACTATTTTATCATGTAACTACCAAGCCTAAATTTATATAATTTCTATAAAATATAATCAGATATATTTCATATGGTTAAATAGTATTATTTTAACATACAATTACATTAAAAAGCAATTAAGATTTTGGTATACTTTCTAATGCTGTAAGTCTTACCCCACAGTCAAATCACTGAATACTAATGAAAGAACTACAGCTACAAAGCCCCACTCTGCGTTTTTTTAAACACTTCTACAGCACAGGCACGTGGAGATTATTGCCCTTTTAGGGCCTTCTCAGAAACCCTGTACATTTAGGGCATGTCAGAGGGAATCACAGCATGTAGGACTCAGTAGAATTTGGGCTCAGTTGCCACTCTTTGGACAGTCCAGGCAGGGCTACCTATCTTAGGAAATTCATCCAGTTTATATTACACTGAGGAAGTGTTCAGCCACTAGATCAATCTAGAAACCATTCCGTTTTTAACTTATTAACTAAACAATTTGTTCACAAGAAAGGAAATCAGTAGTTTAGCTGTGGCACTAGTGGATTTTGGTCTCCTAAGGATTCAAGTTAGTTGCATCTTCAAGAAATTATGTGAAGGCTGTAGCACTAGTTCACTCTGTATTACACACCAGTGAATTCTCACACAAAACTAATGTTACCATTTTCCCCCACAAACTAACTGAAGCTGTCATGTAAAATGTCTGAGAAACTACATAATTGGTTACAGTGCAGTCTGAATAACGAACCCTAACAGCTACCTTACAGCTGTTATTTTTGCCTAGCAGCTACCATACTCACTTCTTTGTCATGTAGCGATATTCTCCTACTTTTGTCGACATATCAACGATTTGGCCCATCACTTCCCAACACATAGAATAATGTTTTTTATAGCGGGCCTGAGCTCTTTCAGCAGCAATTTTCTCATGTTGTTCTCTCTCTTTCATTATCTGTTCTTCATTATCAATGTTTTCTTGTTTTGCAAGAGCCTGGAATTTTTTTAAAGAGTAAATCTGAGACTGCAATGAAAATGAAAGTGCAGAGGTGCACAGTCCTGGAAATTAAAATTAACTTGTTCATTTAAGTCACAAAACAGAAACAGCTCATTTCTCACCAGAGCTGGAGAGCCAGCAAGCAGACTAATACAAAAACTAATCTAAAAACTTTTATTAATTCTATAAATTCCACTTTGTTTGCTTTCTAACTGCTAAAATACAGTAAAGGAGAAATGCTTTACTTCTTTAATGACAAACAGATTAAGAACATATTGAGTGCTTGGGGGCAGTGAAATCACAGGTTTCAGTGGAATTACTCATTCAGAAAATGTGACAAATAATTTATCTTACTAGATTCTGATCTTCAAATAATTTTAAATTATTGATGTTGTTCAATCTTCGAAAAAGATTTCTGGTCATAGTAGAAAATTATTTCTGTGATGGTGTGCTGCTTTTGGCTGAAAGCATACTTAAAGAGATGTACTTAAAGAGATCAGATAGCTGCTGATTACACAGGACTCCAGCTGTGTTGGAGGATTTGGAGTTGCTATTTGTTTTTGACAGGATCACATTATGCCCTACTATGAGCATTGCACTGGGCAGTTTTCCACAGAATTTTAAGTCCTTTTAATCAACTGAAAGCTTCAAGGTAGAAAGAAATAAGCACTCATGAGTGTAACCACTCCAGCATTTGTCAAAAATGGACATTAACATATTATATCTAAGTGAAATTAAAAACATGATTCTTGAAACAAGATCTTAGGCTATTGTCTTTTGTCCTGTTGCCTCTGCAAGACTGTGCCTTTTAAATTCAGCACACAGAGATGTTTCCCTACAAAGTTAAAATTAGTATAGAAAAAAAGATCAAAATTAGACTTTAAGTTGCTCAGCTTTATCCCTTATTATCCCCCTGCCATGGGGGGCTGTTCTTCCTCCCTCCCTACATAATTCCCCTAAAGTTTTAACACACTGCAAAATGCTCTCAGTTCCACAATTACAGTTACATGCTTATTGCTTATCACCCATGTCAGCTGTAACTGTGAACTAAAAAATAAAAGAATATATTTATCATTAAATCATCCTGTCCTGAGAAAAGTCTTGAAGTTGACAATAAGAATTCCATTTAATAACATTCTAATAGTCCTGTAGCAATTCAGAGAGCAAAACAATCTTTTACCGCTTCTCTGTCAAGAGCTTCCTGGAACTCTTTTTGCCGTCTTTCTTCATATTGTTTTTCCCTAAAAATTCTGTTTTGCCTTAACACCTCTTTTTCATGTCGAACATGCATGAGTTGAGCAGCAATCCTCCGCTCGTGCTGAGATTGTTTCATTAGTCTGTAAACAAGCTGCTCCTCCCGGTAAGCCTTCTAAAAGACAAAAAATAATGCTACTAAGCACAGTTTATAAACTATTTCCTAGACAACTCATCAGTGTCTCATATGAGAAATACAAGTGGAGTTTATATAACAGCACTCACCTGTTTATATGACACATAAATCCAGAACAACAAAGATATCTATTTATTAGTACTATTTTTGTAAGAAGTGGTACTATTTATGTAAGGATTTACAGCAGCAGTATTTATGTAAGAATTGTAGAACTCTAGAAGAGAATTCTAACTACGTCTTAACTGAGATATTCAGTAAAAATACATTTGGTCAGATTAACTCAATTTTAATGTGGTTATTTCCCATGCGCAAAGAAACTGCAGCACATTTTAAATAATGGCTTCTGCATCTAAAGATATACCCTTTCCTCAAATAATTAACTTATTTCTGCTATTCACCAGTTTCCATTCTCAGCCACATTCTACTGGATCCTTGATCACTCTCTTTTCTACAGGTTTGAAATTCTACCTTCCTTCTGGGGATTTGGGTAATTATCTTCTCCATTCTCCTCTATTCAGGAGACTGAGAATAGGAGGAACCATTCCAGAACAGAGCAATATACAAGACTTCTGGGCAATAGTTCCAGTGTTCTCGCTGGGACATGGATACAATACCTTATTTGGTACTATGGGAAAATCGTTCTGAACTGTTGCTTGAGGCATGGTCTGTGTACAAAGATACTTTCAAGGCTATGGATTGTTATTTTTCTAAGTACTCTCATAACATAATAGTATCTTATCACTACTAAACTTCTCTAGCCTTCCCTGGTATGTAAACTAATGCTTAACCTAACCTAAAGTTTTGCTTCATTATAACTGTCCGGAACTCCTTCTGAGTCCTAAGCAAAAACATCAGCTTGCCTTTCAAGCCCCATTGCCAAATACCACTCCTACAGCAGAATTCTAGATGAAATATCTGATTTGCTGAATATTTGTTTCACATGCAGCAAAACTACTAGGAAATATATTCCAATGTAAGGACCTAAACTGGGAACTGATTTGAAGATTTCAAATTCATTTTCCTAAGAACAGAGGCACAGGTAAAGCCAGTTATTAGTACAAAAAACCCCAAACCAAAATAAAGTCACATCTATTTTCTTTTATCTGGTTTATTTTTTCATTAGCTGCCTGTGACAGAGAGGAAAAACACGTTACATACATACACCTATAATTGAACAATTCAATTTGATTACATATTATCATATTATTTACGAAAGAACTCTACAAAGAGTCTAGATCTGTGCTACACAATGCAAACTAGGACACCTGTAAAAAAATTTTTACGCAAAGCATGGCTATTTGAATTTCAATAATAAAACCAACAACTTTCTAAATAATTTATTTAATATTGATGTTGGGAAGAAGCCAATTTAAAAAAAAACAACCTCTTTCCATATTTTTAAGTTCTTTTCTCTTCACAATTGCTGGGAATAAAGTACATTCCAATTAAATTCTGGTGACTTGAAAATACTAAACTTATTTCAGCCAAAATGTGGGCTTTGCACTCCCCTTTCCTAGCACCAAATCTCATAACACTGCATGATAGTTCTAATGGCAGATGCAGTCATCTCAGGCTTTAATCTCAGAGTGGTTCACCTGCATGCTATGTTGTCTCTATACAAAGTTTTTCTCAAAATGAGGGCCTAATTTTGAATGTGTTGTGTTTTGTACCCTATTTGTAGTTTACTGTTTGTAAGCTATTTTTCTATGGAGGGAATTATCATCATGCATGCAACTGAAGTGGAAAACAATGCAATCATAGCAATTTTATATTCATTCTATGTGTCATTTGATATAGTTCAGGTGATAAATTTTTCCAATAGTACTGCCTACTGAAGAGTTAGTCTGTCCATTTTCTCTTACATTCCTATCTCAAGGCAATAAAAGGAGTAACAGCACCCTTTGCCATCTCAGTTCTATCCACTGCTTCTTTGGACTTAGTATTTCATTAAGGTTTCAAAGAAGAGTAGAAAATGCAAGATTTGTTTCCTATTGCAAGTAAATGTCCTTCATTATTTTCTGTAGTTGCTACTGCTTACCTTCAGCCATGGAGCAGTAGGTACTTCACCAGAAGAAAATGGATTTTAAAACCCTAATTCACAGGGAATTGAAAGAGCCACCCTAACAGAGTGGTCACTTGTCATACTCAAACCATCAACTTTATGGTGCAAAAAGTTGGTCCAGTGAGAAATTAAAGCACCTTATTTAGGTGAATGTGCTCTTCCTAAAGCAAATGGTAAGATGCTCCTTTAGAACACTTTACAGCACCTAAAAGAGACCTTGTCTTTGCTTACTGAAGTGTAGAGAATTTCAATATTCTAAGTGATCAAATATTTTGGCATGCTCAGTAGGCCTAAAAAGAGCTAGTAGGAAATTTTTGAGGAACAAGAATAAATGAAAAGGCAACTAAATCAAAGATACACAACAGATAAGTAAGGATTCAGAACACCAAACTCAAAGTTTCAGAGAGGTTGCTTATTGGGTGGGGAATTGTCATGGTAGCTATCTTTCATGCAAAAAGGAATGGACAAAGTACTCAAACCAAAGGTTAACAAGTTTTAAAACTTCTGGACATGGTAGGAGACAACATAAAAATTGTAGTACCATTTTTTGACCTAAAATTTTACATCAGCATCTTCACAGAGGACTGTGAAGTGCCTGAAGAAATCATAAATATCATAATTGGGACATCCGCGTAATAATTTGAAAAATTACTATTAAAAGAGCACAAAACACACTTTTTTTCCGGTTTACCTACTTGAGACAACAGTGGCATCCAGTGGCCAAACCATAATGTGTGTATGTTTCATGTTGTTCATACATAATTACTGTATCACGTTTCTATTTTTCTATTTCCTTGTTTGATTTACATACAAGTGAAACAATTTTGTGCTGTTGTATGGTCATAAAATTTATGACCAAAACTTACAGTTCAGCATACATAAATCTATTTGGTTGACAAGAAATAATCTAGTAACAGTTCATTTCTCCTCCCATTTTCATGTTCTCAATTTATTGCTGAAAGTAACTTATTCCTGGTAAATTTTTAATTCAGAGAGATAAAATCTGAACAGAGCACCTAAAAATAACAAGTAAAAAGCACAAATAATTTGTTGAAATGGTGGAGATAAAGGTTCAATAGGAATGAAGCCATATTACTGTCAAACACTTTCAACACCTCCCTATGAAAATCGGACTGGCATCACACTATGTTCTACAAAGAGTAGAGTATTTTCTCTCCCAGGCTTCAACCTGTGAAGTGCCAAAAATAAAAATTTTGACCAAAGTTCTTTTAGTAAGATTTATAAGCATGGATACAAAACAATCTACTGCGTTCTGAAGGGATGAAATTCATTTGACTCTAAATGATCTCATGCCATGTTCAAAGTTTATGCTGTACAGGTAAAAATTTGATCCTAATACCTACAGGGCAGCTGCAGTTTCAGTGTGAAAATCCTTTATGGTTCAGTACATAATGGAAGGGAAAAGTAATTTTCAACTATTTTGTATATTCATTTATTTTTTAAAGAAAATACCTTAGTTTGCTTCCCAGTTCTCTTAAGCCAAGTGGCACCTAATTTCTGAAATCTCGAAGTTCCAACCAAACATCTCTTCCTCTGCTAATTTAGAACCAAATTACCACTAAACAGATTCTCTGATCTGGTCAAACTACTGTTCCAGTCAAATGCTCACTTGTCTTTCCTTCTAATCCCTACAGTCTGTGACTTCAGTTGTTCCTATATCAAAGCTTATTTTTTTTTCCTGGGAATTTAGGAACACTATTGTTAGTTTTGCCTTGATTTGGAGCCTCCCTGGAGCCTGTGTGATTGGCAGCACATTGCTAAAGTTCCTCCATCCCAAACTGATAAGGCTTGTCCTAAACCTCAGGTGGACTAGCTGTGTGACCTCCTCACAGCACTGGCTGGCTTTGCTGGTTTACAGCTGCTGTATCCACCAAGCAACCCAGTGACTGACAGCCAGGACTTTTGGAACCCCTAGTCCAGGCTGCCAGGGCTGCAAGAGCTCAGAGCAATTAAAGAGCAAGTTTTGGGACTCCAGTGATTTCAGGCGACTGGAATGCAAAACTTCTTCATGGCCTATGGATATCACCAAGAACATGATGTAAAATCTCTTTGAATGAGAACTCAGAGACAGGATACATGGATAGATGCACTCTTGGTCTAAGCTACTACAGGTGTTTTTCAAGAATATAGATCAGAGATAGACATCGAGAAGCATCTAATTCCCAGATGACTACCTCAACAAATTAAATTTTTTCTTAACATTTCCAAATAGTCTCACAGAATCACAGAATATTCCGAGTTGAAAGGGACCCACAAGGATCATCGAGTCCAACTCCTGGCCCTGTACAGGACCATCCCCAAGACTCACACCACATACCTGAGAGTATTATCACCACATACCTGAGAGTATTATCAAAATGCTTCTTGAACTCTGTCAGGCTTGGTGCCATGACAACTTTCCTGGGGAGTCTGTTCCGGTACCCAACCATCCTCTGAGTGAAGAACCTCTTCCTAATATCCAACCTAAACCTCCCTTGACACAAGTTCAGGCCATTCCCTTGGTTCCTCTCACTGGTCACCACAGAGAAGAGATCAGTGCCTGCCCCTTCTCTTCCCCTCATGAGGAAGTTGTAAACTGGGATAAGTCTCCTCTTCAATCTCCAGACACTACATGCCAAGGCTTAAAAATATATACATATATATAAAATATATGCTACACATCTGAAATGCTATTATTATGCACCAGCAGTGGAGAAAGTCCCAGCTATAGTGGGTTCAACACACATGATCTAAGCTAAGGACTCACAGTGAAACACTAAAATAAATGATAACCAGAAATCACAGAAACCCAGCAAATTACAAGTTCTGTTTCTACACAATCACTATAAAAGAGAAGACACGTGAAATCAGTAATCTAAGAGCTGCTTTTTGAATAAGGAGTATCTGAAGAGAAATCTTAAAAGCCTTGTGCTTTACAGGACAGGATTCAAATGGAATAACCTGCAACATCCATTTTTAGACAAAACACAGATGTTCTCCAGAGACATATCTTCTATTCCACAACACATCAAAAATCAAAGCTCTGATCTGCAAATTGAGTTTGATTTTTCTCTTTGTTCAAGTTTGGGGGAGGGGGGTGGCAGGGAATAGAAGGCAGATCTTCAACTGATTTTTATAATCTTTGCTCTGCTACCTTCATTTATCTTTTGTGGTTTGTAAGTATGGTGTATGACATAAAGGTTCTGAGAAATAACAGATAACCTTCCCTATTTCTCAAGGAAAGCCAATGGTTGGCATAAAAGTAGTGCATATATCTTCCTTTATCCTCTCCAAAAGTGTTCTGATTTTATATTTGTAAGCAAATTTTTAGATTGCTAACTGCACATGGACTACATAGTTCAGCATACAATTTCTCACCTCTTCAGATTCATGTGCTAGTAACTGGTCCATTAGCATTTTTCGTCGTCTCTTTGCTCGTTGTTCTCTAGCAAATGTATCTTCCTCTAAACGTTTTTGAATTTTCCTTATATATTCACCATCTGAATAAACATTTAACAGCTCAGCTTTTGTCTGTGCTGTAGTTTCTTGAGTAGTTTCTTGAGTTGTTTCTTGCAATTTCTGTGTTTGCAATGATTCTTGTATATCACTGATTGAAAAGATTAAAAAGAGAAAGATCTCTGACTTAATATGAATTATGGTTCTTAAAGGTGTTTACATACAGATCCCTGTATAGCTATATGCAAGTCTAACAAATGTACAACATCACTCTGAGGGTACTGTGGCTACTTCTTGGTGCCCTTGTTACTGGGTTACTCCTCAAGATATCACTCTGAGTACAGTTTTGCAGTTACAAGTTTACACACAGAAATATCTACAGCAGTATGGATGACTATCACCTCCTGTCAGTAGGGTATACATATCAATAAAGATGACAGAATGACTATTACTTATAATTATTCACAAATAAATCAACATACAGGCAAGTTTCAGGAAGAAAGTTACTTCTCTCTATTTCCTTTGAAATGTGTTACTGTGTCCGCATATTCAGAGCCATTCTCACCTCTCTGCAAGGCTAAATGACCTTATAGACCCAGTGACTAAAATTAACAGAAGAGATGCACTTTGATCCATTTCTTGCTGTATATGTGACAAAAAGTAGTGAAGGAAGCTTGAGCCATCCCTACTACAACTAAAGGTAAGGTAAAGACACTGCAACCGTGTTGGAATTGAAATATGTGCAGTGCTAGTGGGACAATCACTCAAAGAAGAAATCACAGTTTAAACTAAATGAGACATTACTTTTTCCTCAAGTAGCTGCCTACATAGATAGCAGACACCCGAGGTAGGATCCTGTCTATTCTTAGCAATCTAATATCCAAATATTACCTGTCAGTCACCGGGCTGTGTAATTCAAAGGCATTTCCTGTCATAGACTTCTCAAACTTGTCTATTTCCTTGTATACGTTCTGAAGAAGTAACACAAAATTTAATGTTTCCTTTCTCTTCACAAAACATCACAAAGAATGTTCAACAGAACAAGTATTAGGGAATTACTTTTCTGTCATGCATGTATAACAGAAAGGTTTACAGTGAAAATACTTTAAGCATCAGCTAGACCAAGAATAAAGGCAAGACTATTTCCTTCTTCTACCTTTCGCTTCTTCCCTTGTTCCCTGTCCCTTGCTACACCTACTTCCATCAGCCAGAATATCCTACAAATTTGCAGCTATTCATTCTGCAGGATAATTCTGATTTTGCATAGGACTTCAGCAGTTTACATAATTCTCACCATTCAGAGATTTGAAAGGATATTCTGGGCTATCATCTGCTTTTGAATCAGTAGCTTGAATGTATCCCCAATAGCTACTCAAGCAACTATGTTACTACACTCTACATTTAAATACATCTGTGACAGTTGCACAGTTGTAAAAACTGGTAATATTTACACTCCTGATGATAATACAATCCAAGAACTTGAATTACAATCCAAGTACTCTTCCATACGAGATAATACAGATTTTTTTTTAATGGTGCATTGCTATCATCTCTTGATTTAAGACAATTGTCAATTTCAGCTATTAGTAACATTTTTAATAGAGCAGACAGCTTTATAGTGTGTTACAGAACAGTTCAAATATTATCGTGCAAAACTTCATCAGGCACAAATGAGAAAGGAATGCTAATACTTTTATTTCACATATTCAACTCAATAGGCTAGAAGGTAAAATAGTTTTAGAAACCAAATTAGTACCTACCTATGGTATATATTCAATACAAATTTTCTCTTATGTCAAAACAGTTTTTATTAAGAAACAAACGCAGAATTATGATAAGTATTCAGCCCATTTCACTGCCTGAGTCTACTATATTTTAACAGTTATATAGCAGCAGCTTTTATATGATGTAAGTACAGTATTTTTAAGTGTAAATGTTCCCAAAAATCATGGTTTTCGCGTTAATATAATTAACATTAAAAGAGCATAGATGAAAATTACCTCTGCTTCTCTTTTCTTTAACAATTTTTTAGTTTCAATAGCTTTTATGATGGGTCTTGGTGGAGGCTTTGGAACCTTTAAACCAGCTGTTTGAATCCTGTGCGCTACTTCACTTTGTCTCCTTCTTCCAATGTGATCCTGAATATTCAACATCTTGTGTTCAGATACATAGTTTGAAACAAAATACAACATATGGCCCTAATATACTACCTAAATATTTCTGAAGTAATACGGTACTTTATACATAGATATAGATATAGATAGATAGATAAATACACACATTTACTTAATATATTTATATGAAGTAAATGTAACTAAACCAGAAAGAAAACAATCTTTCAGGAGGAAAGAAGGGCTTATCAGGCTTCAGACTTGAGCAAAGGATCAGTGCCTTATAGGCATTTAGGGGCTTTCATTGAATTCTAGTTCTAGTATGTTACTTGTTTCAGGTCTGAATACAGCACAGAAACTGAAAATACCAGTTTCCTAGTACAGAAAATGAGAATACCATTAGGTAACACATTAAGTAATACTACTGGTGAACAGTGAGTCTCAGATGACCAAGAAGTAACAAACATATAAATTACACTACAGATACCTGTGGGTAAAGATTGATATAAGTAGAAAAAATACTTTTTTACACAAATAGTCAAAGTCAGTCAAAAATATATAATATATCAAATAAGGTACTAATAAATTTTCTTTTAAACTTTTTTTGTTATATTTTGGATATTGTTTGTATTTTCTTTTCTAGATACTTTTCCTTCTTGTTCATATAGTGACAACAGAACAGCTAAATAATCACAGCGAGACTCTGTCCCTTAATTAGCCATATAAAACACATATCAAATTAGTCAAGTACATCTTCTATGTGGTTCAACACCTCAGATAGCTCGCCATTTCCTCAATATAAACTGTAAGCTGTACTTTGGATGAGTGTTCCCATGTCTAAACAAATTCCTTTCTCTTTTTTTACTTTATCAGAATGGCTACATAGAAGTACAAGATGTTCTGAGGCCATACGCACTAGGCCCCCTTTTTCCCTGTCTTTTCCTGCTTTTGAACAATGCTTCTTTTCTTTACAAAAGAAGAATGTCACAAAGCTCTTTTACAAGGACATCTCAAACACATACAAGTTGTGAAATTTACACTTAGTCTTGAAGTCTATAGATATTTTCCACACATGACAAAACATAAGTACTCTCATTTTTAAACTATGTGACTTATACTCATAAGAGTATATTGACTCTGTGTCTACATATTAAGGATTTCCACGCATAGTCCTTTCCTTCGTTCTTGTATAAATATGACCGTGTAGCACAGAACTAAGAAGCCTTCACATTGGCTTTAACTAATCCATTATGCACATATCCTTAAGAAAATACATCTTCAGAAGTCTATAAAAAGTAAGCAGTCACCTCTTCAATGTCTTGAGCTCTTTGCTCTTCTTGGAGCTTCTGAGCTCTCTGCTGCTCTGCAAAATGTGTATGAGCTATTTTATCTGCTACTGCCTTGGATTTTGCTTCAAAACGCTCCGAAATCTGCTGTAGCTGCAAATCAGCCTGACGTGGCACTAAAGTTTTCAAACGCTAAAATTAAACATCAAGCAATGAAGAGTCAGAAACGGTAATAAACATAATTAAATATGACAATTATAAGATGTTTATTTTAAACTATGAGGGCCCCCTGGTGGTCTAGTGGTTAGGATGCAGCGCTCTCACCGCCGCGGCCCAGGTTCGATTCCCAGTCAGGGAACCTCTCTGGGCAGATGGAGCTCGTCAGCTCTGTAAGGCCATCCACCTAAGAGGTCACTCTAAACAAACCTATGTCCTGAGGACCTCGCTGCCACCGTCCGAGCTCGCTCAGCCCTGGCAGATGAACCTTAGGATTAAAGGGTGGGCTCAGTTCAGCGCACACTGTGTCTCACCTAAAAAATCCACTGCGCAGGCTCGAAGGGTAATGACCTTTCCCAAATCTTCGTTTGCAAAGACTGGCCATACCTATTTTAAACTGTGTTTTCCTGTGTTAATGGGCACAGAATAAACATCTAAACATGTTTGAATAGGAAACCAGGACTAGCTCCATTGAAAAAAACAGAGATTTGAATCTGAATGATGCCAAACTTTCTTTAGTTTAGAGAAAAGGACACATTGCTTTGTAGAGCTTCTTGAGGAGGGGAAGTGCAGAGGGAGGTGCTGTGCTCTTCTTCCTGGTATCCAGTGAGAGGACATGTAGGAATAGAAGCATAGAATCATAGGACCACAGAATGGTTTGGATTGGAAAGAACCTTAAAGATCATCTAGTTCCAACCCTCCTGGCCCTGGGTAGAGACACCTTCCACTAGACCACGTTGGTCAAAGTCCTATCCAGTCTGGCCTTGAACACTCCCACGGATGGGACATTCACAGCTTCTCTCTGCCAGTGCCTCACCACCCTCACAATAAAGAATTTTTTCTTAATATTTAATCTAAACCTACTCTCCGCTTGAAGCCATTCCTCCTTGTTCTATCACTACATGCTCTTCTAAAAAGTCTCTCTTCATCTTTCTTGCAGGTTCCCTTCAGGCACTCAAAGGTCACAATTAGGTCATTTTGAAGCCTTCTCTTCTCCAGGCTGAACAATCCCAGTTCTCTCAGCCTTGCCTGGTTGGAGATGCTCCATCCCTGCAATCAGCTTGGTGGCCTCCTCTGGACTCGCTCCAACAGGTCAACGTCCTGCCTCTGCTGAGGACCCCAGAGCTGGATGCAGTGCTCCAGGTAGTAGGGGTCTCACCAGAGAGGAGCTGAGGGGCAGAATCCCCCCCCTTGACCTTGACTGCTTTTGAGGTGGCCCAGGAAACGTTTGGCTTTCTGGGCTGTAAATGCACACAGCCAGGTCATGTCCAGCCTCTCACTCACCAGCATGCCCAAATCCTTCTCAGCAGGGCTGCTCTTCATTTGCTCATCCCCCAGCCGGGACTGATACTGGGGGTTGCCCTGACTCAGGTGCATCACCTTGTACTTGATCTTGTTAAACTGCCTGAGATTCCCATGGACCCATCGATCAAGCTTGTCCAGGTCCCTCTGGATGGCATCCTGTCCTTCAGGTGTGGCAACCACACCTCTCAGCTTGGTGTCATCTGCAAATTTGCTGAGGGGGTACTCGATGACTTTGTCATTGATGAAGATATTAAATAACACTAGTCCCAATATGGACTCCTGAGGGGCACCATTTGTCACTGATGTCCATTGGGACTCTGAGCCATTGACTATCCCCCTTGGTAGTGACCATCAAGGCAGCTCCTTCCCACTGAACAGTCCACCCATCAAATCCATGCCTCTCCAATTTAGAGAGAAGGATGTTGCGGGGGACCGTGTCAAAGGCCTTACAGAAGTCCAGATAAATGACATCTGTAGTCCTTCTTTTGTCCACTATCATAGTCACTCCATGACAGAAGGTCACTGTATTGGTCAGGCAGGACTTGCCCTTGGTGAAGCTGTGCTGGTTGCCTCAAAGCACCTCCCTATCCTCCATGTGCCTTAGCAGAGCTTCTGGGAGGATCAGTTCCGTGATCTTACCAAGTACAGAGACGAGGGTGAAAGTCAGTAGTTCCCAGGGTCCTCCTTTCTACCCTTTTTAAAAGTAGGCACAATGTTTCCCTTTTTCCAGTCACCTGGGATTTCCCCTGATGGCCATGAGTTTTCAAATATCATGGAGAGTGGCTTGGGAACTACATCAGCCAATTCCCTCAAAATTCTGTGATGGATCTCATGGGGTCCCATAAACTTACATACATGATTGTACATTATGTTCATTATTTACTCAGGTGGTCATAGACCTGATCCCTTCTTACAGTGGGAGGGACTTTGCTCCCCCAGTCCCCATCCTGCTGTCCATCCACTGAAGAGGTGTAGGAAGAGAGGCTGTCAGTTAAGACTGAGGCAAAAGAGTTGTTGAGTACTTCGGCCTTCTTCTCATCTGTTGTTACCAGTTTCCCAGTGCTGTTTATCAAAGCGCCTTCCTTTTCTGATTAACACACCTGTAGAAGCCCTTCCTGTTATTCTTTGTGTCCCTTGCCACAGTTTCAGCTTTGATATGGCCTTTCTCATCCCATCCCTACACAACCAAACTTCCCCTCCATACTCTTCCCAACTCACTTTTCCTAGCTTCAACTGCCTATGCATTTGCACAGCAGCCACGTCGGTCTCTTGCCTTCCTTGCCTGACTTGCTTCTAGTGATTGCTAGCTCTTGCACTCTATGGAAGACATCCTTAAAGATCTTTCAGCTCTGTCTCTGTGGGCAGTCTGCCAGGGCATCCCCTTGACTATCTCCCTGAAGAGCTGAAAGTCTGCTCTCCTAAAGTTCAGGGACCTAACTTTACTCCTCACCTGACCCACATCCCTCAGGACTGCAAACTCCACCAATGCATGATCACTCCAACCCAGGTTGCCTGCAGTCTTGATGTCCCCAATTATCTTGTTTGCAGTGGTCAACAGATCAAGAAACACATCCCTCTGGGCTATTTCTTGGACCAGGAAGTTATCTCTCATGCATTCCAGGAGTCTCTGTGCTACTTTCCCAGCAGATGTCGGGGTGGCTGAAGTCCCGCAAGCAGGACAAGAGCCTGTGAGCACGATGACTCCTGTAGCTGGAGTAAGAAGGCTTTGTCAATAGGTTCCCTTGGTCAGGTGGACTGTAGCAGACACCAACTACAGGGTTCCCTTTTTTGCCTTGGTCTGTGATTCCTAGCCACAGGCTTTTGAACTGCTCATGTCTATGCCTTGGAGACAATTCTTCACAATCCATCTCTTTATGTAGAGGGCAAACCTGTCTGCCTCTCCTTCCTCTTCAGTCTCTTCTAAAAAGCCTGTAGCCATTTATAGTCACACTCCAGCCATGGGACTCATCCCATGCTGCACCAGGGGAGGTTCAGACTCTATGTTAGGAAGCATTTCTTTACTGAGAGTGTAGTCAAACACTGAGACAGGCTTCCTAGAGAGGTGGTCAATACCCTGAGTCTGTCACTGTTTCAGAGGCATTTGGACAATGACCTTAACAACAGGCTTTAACTTTTGGTCAGCCCTGAAGTGGTCTGGCAGTTGAACTAGATGATGGTTGTAGGTCCCTTCTAACTGACATATTCTATTCTATTTAAACTGAAATATAGAAAATTCAACTTAAACACAACGAAAAAATTACTGAAAGGGTGGTAAATAATTTACTTACACAAGCTGAGAAGTCTCCAGCTTCGGAGATAGTCAAGACCCCACTGAACAAGGTCCTGAGCAACACGCTCTAGTTGGCTTTACCTGGAGCAGTGGGGATGGACTAAGCGATTTCCAGAGGCCCCTTCCAGCCTCAACTATTCTATGATTCAAATGCTGTTCTGAACCTGTCTAAAGACCAGACCTACTCACAGTTGCTTAACTTCTTTAAGCTATCCCTCTATAGCTGAAGGGATACTTCCCTTCTCTGGTACTATCCTTGCATTTGTTCATAATCTTTCTGCCTGCAGACTATTTTTCAGGAAGTGTGCCAGAAAAAAAAGTGAAATTTTACCCAAATGAATTTGATTCATGATATATAGCTTCTTAAAAACTGCCCATCCTGCTAACAAATAATGGTTTGCACATGCTGAATCTTACTGCTGAAAACAAGAAGAATGTCTTTAACAGAACCTACTACATCAATACTGACTTCCTCTTAGGTACTCTCTTTTCCTTTTTTTTTTTCCTCTTTGTATTACCCAGCACATGATTATTGCTGGCTGGAGTGTAGTATAAATATATGGAGAGACATGTAACAGAATGAACCAAATCACTGTGGCACAAAGCTCAACATAGCTATAAACAGGCTTCCTGGAGGGGCAATTAGTCTAAGTTGATACCTAGACCACAATGCAGTCTGCAATCTGCACTGATAAAAGTAAAAATGCAGCTGCTGAATAACTACTAGGCTTTGTTGTTATAGTATTTTAAGTCTGGAGACAGCTTGAAAATAGAGCAGGTAACACAGGATGAACCAAAACAAAGGAAAACAGATCACAGAAGATCAATAGCCTTTTGAGTTACTGATAAGCTGTGTAATGCCACTGTATAAGACATAGCAAAGGACTTCTTCTTTTCAATATAAGTGTTGGGTTTTGAACAGGAGATTTAAAAAGTGAGGAGGGGAAGCACGCAATACACTTGAAAAGTACATGTAAATACATGCTACCTTTTCTCTATTTATACAAAATAAGCATAGCTAGTTACCTCTGGATACAAAACACTCTCAATAGACTTAAGATTTGTAGTTGCGGCGGGTCTTATTGCTTCCATGACTACTCCAGGGTGCTTTGCCTTTCTCTTTTTTTCTAAAGCAATATACAATTCATATAAAAGCTTTGTTGCAGCCCCATGCTGTCCTGTCATGATGTCTTGGGCCACATTCTCATTAAATGGCACACCGAGGAGGTGAAGTGTAGGTTCCAGGCGAGAAAAATTGTTAACTTTTGCATCTGCAACCCTATATGATTAAAAACAACAACAAAAACCAGAAAATAAACTTATTTTCTGTTCCAACTTGCTTCATTAAGCATGGTCATGATACTTATACCAAGACAGGAGGAGGAAAAAAATAAAACCCACAGAGGACTTCCTTAAATAATGGGTTACACAGTTTGGCTTAGGTTTTATACTGCAGTGTATACACACATTGATTAGTAAGTATAACTTCTGGAAAAAACAAAGATCACATTGGATTATATAAATCCTGATACATAAATACACAAAGTGCATCTGACAGCAAAAGCTAACCCCAATTGCAGCTAATGGTACCCCCTCCACAAAACACACACAGAGTTTGAATTAAGTTTCTATATTAGCTGTATCATCACTTGAGCTCTTGCCAATCAAAACATACGTAATGATAAAAAAAGCCTATATTATCCATTAAACCTCACAACACTTTGACATATTTCTTCTCCAATAAAAAGAAATGGACACACAGGTTAGAATTAGTAATTTACATTCAAAGCTAAAATAGTGGCTTGCAGATTACTGTTTTTCTTGATATGTAGATTCTCCTGTGGAAGCAGTCAATATCAGTAGATATACAGGGCAAAATCAAATAATAATAAATTATCAGTTTATCACAACTAACACATCAAATTTCATCCAACAAATCCATAACTTCAGTCTGAGTCAGAACATCATGCTTTCTATACTGCTCTATCTCTTGAGCTCACAATAGTTCCTTTGTATCTACCAACCAGCTTTTGAGGTCAGCTGAGCTCCAGCACAATTCTACAAAAATGCCCAATTTTACCTGAAGACCTTCTGGTAACAGAGTATTCATCTTATTTTGAGATGAAACTGTCCAGGGACTCATTATTCTCTCTATAATAGTCCATGCCTTATTTCTTACCCAATTATATATAACTGCAGCTTCCAACTACTGAACATTTTTCTGCCATTGATTCAAGGTTAAGATGAGCCCTATTGTCACAAACCATCTCACATGCACTGAGAGGCTGTAGTGACACCACCTCTTAACTTTTTATTCTGCAAGGTGCAGCAGACTGGTTTGTACATCCCATATTCCCGCTTCTTGCATTCCTTGAAGAGAGGAATGGGAGTTGCAATCTTCTAGTCCAAGGGACCTCCACAGTCATCAGGACCTTTCAAAGATTATTGAGTGGCCTAGCAGTGATATCAGTCAGGTCCCTCAGCTCGGGTGGGTATATGTCATCAGGTGCCATGGACTTGCATATTTCAAATTTATTTAAACGTTCCTTTCTTGCTACAGACTGTCCTATAAGTCTCAGAGGCTTGGGATATCACAGTCTTATGGATGTCTCAATAGGTCCACATTTTCCCTAGCCTTCCTTTTGCCGTGGAGATATCTGTAAAAGCCCTTCTCGTTGCCCTTCTACCTAGGCATAAGACAAGGTCTTTTCTCCATGAGGACAGTCAAGAAAATTGAAATAAATTGCCTGGAGAGTTAGTGTAGTCTTCATCCTTGGAGGTTTTCAAGATGACACTGGGTAAACAACTGCTGCAGACTTTCCTGTTAGTCTCAGGGGCTTGGGATTTCAGAGTACGAGTTTTACCAGTAGAATAGAGTAGGACAGAGAAGCCATTAAGTATCTCAGCCTCAGCACGGCAGTCTGAGAAATACTCAAGGACCTGAGAGGGAGGCTGATCAATGGAGCCATACTCTGCCACCTTTGATGTAGAAAGACAACTCAGCATGGCTGCTACAGAGGTAGGTCTTGGATCTTACCTGCTCTCTCACACATGGGGCAGCTCTTCTTCCTCCTCACCTTCCCAGTCTGTCCATCCTAAAGAGCCTATATCCAGCCATGGCAGCATGCCAGTTGTGTGAGCTAATCCACTGCCTCTCTGTGATTCCAATGATAATCCAGCAACAGTTCACAGGCTGCTAATTTCTTCTGTTTGATCCCCATGCTGCATGCTTTAGTATACAGACACTTCAGAGAGGCAGCCAGTTGTGTTGATTTTAAAAAAATGTAGAAAAATTTAGAAAAGGTGTGAATGTTTATCCCATAACCTTATCTTCTCAGCACTTCCTTAAAAGTGTGCATACATTTGGGGTGGAAGGCCTTCTGCACTGTTTTGCTGCTCTTATTCGCATAACCCTCTTCTTGCTTGCCAGTCCAGGCCATCACTTCCTCACTTGTTTGAGAGTAATCCTCTCCTCCCCTCATTCCTAGTTTATCCTCACCAGGTTTGTCAGGCTGTTTCAAAGATGCTTATGTTTATCTTGGCCAGGTGGATCCTATATCTTCTTAGCAGTCTTCCCTCTCAAAAGAGGATCTCACGGCTGTGAAAAACAAATCCCTGCTGTTAACAGCAGCTGCACAACCACTTGTTGACCCATGGAATCTATCTACTCCTCATCAAGCCCATCCACCTCACCAGCAAAAATAAGAAAAAAAAGTATTTGGGCCCCGTGCTTGTGGCTCCAGGTCTCTCTGGCAATATCCTTGGTACCCACAGAGAAGAGCAGCAGGGATAACAGTGCAAGGGCTCTGGACAAATCTCTGCAGCTCTGGACTGAAGGCCCAGCATGCAGTAAACCCCTCTGGCTAGCATGTCAGGTCAGCAGATGGCACCCCCATTTTCTAGTGCTATCATTTACTTGCTCTCTCTGGTGCTCTGATGTAGTTTAGACTTCAACAGCTCAGATGTTTTGTTGCACAGTGCCACCAGCCTCTCATCTGCTACCACAGCCATCAACCTGTTCTGCAGCTTCACATCAGCAGGTGGAGCAGACACCTTCCTTTTCTTGCCAGAAGTCACCTCCTTGCCAGTCATCTCCTTTTCCCAACCCAATCAGATTCTGCCTGCCTCTCTCTCAGCACAGCTGCGGGTCCAGGTTCCTGTATCTGCAGTGTCTCAGAGAAGATCCAATACACTGATTTCATTCTGCAGCAGCTTGACTTGGTAACGCAGCTCCTCCATGAGCACATAGCTCTGCAGGCAAAGCCATCACCTCCCACTCATGAAGATGTAAAGACTCTGGGCATTCCCTCTGGTCTGACACAGGGAGACTTGACTCCTTTCTCTGGAGAGAAATCTGACTTGAGGCCTCTGATATTCTGAGTAGTTGCTCCAATGGGTATTGGGTATCACACTCTGTCACGCATCCCCACGCTTGCTGAGCACACATACACTGTCTCAGCAGAGTTTCTAACCATTTCTTGCACATACTGAAGTGCATCTTCACTAACTGCACCTCAAAGCACACTTTTATTGGGAAGAATCAAGAGAACTTGTTAGAAGCTGCTAGAGCCTGCTAGAAGTAAAAGCCTGTTATTTTCCCCAGCAACAGCAGGTACTCTAAAGTTCCTCAAAGAGTTACCAGGGGTTTTCCAATGATCCCAGAAATTCCTGGGAGATCTAGAAGTCTTAAAAGTAGAGCGCAAAAACTGCTGTGCAAAACTGCTTTTTGCTGGCTGCCTTTGTTAGCTGTGCTCAAGTTGCTCTCTTGAAAATTGGTGGGACTTGCAGAGGGAAGGGTGTGAATACACAGGAAGTTCAAAGAACATAAAAACAGAGGTTCAGAAGAAAAAGGAAGATTTCATGCAGCCTGGCACTCTTGATGCATAAGCCAAGGAACTCCACGAACTGCATCAACTGTACCAAAGCTCACAGATCTGCACAAGACTTTTCAAGGTCACATTTTTCAGTTCTTCTTCATGACAGATACTACACCAGATTACTTGTAAACTTATACATTCTTGTATGATTTTCTACCAGGGCTTCACTCAGAGCCTCACAATGTATCTCCACCATTTTCATTTTAGTGAAGATGTAATGGTCACCACCACACCACAACTCTGTATTCCTGCCCTAGTATTTCCAGCCCTAGAGACATCCTTGAAAAGCTTTTCGCATTCTTGGTCTAACCTGTTACTATTGTAGTTACAATCAAAATGCATAATTTTCTTGAAGAAGTATGATCAATCTCTCTAGATATATGACACTCCTTAAGGCATCACACACAAGCAGCTTTTGAATCTCTGAAAAATGTTTCAAATCTCACTAAGTTCTACATGTTTTCCCACTCTGCATTTAGAAATTCTGAGAAAATATGTATACTATATTAAAATATGTCTACTTTATGTAAGAGACATGTTATCCATAAGTACTAACCTGCTCTGTGAAAATTGTTTAAAGTCATCCTGAAGACCATATTTGTGTAGAAGTTCTCCTAGGAGGTAGCCGTTAGAAAATTCTTCTGGAAATGATCCTGGAACTAAGTTTTGGGTTTTGTTGTTTGAGTTTTTTCCAAAAAATAAGAAAATTAAAAGAATTCGTATATTAATCTTAATACAGCTTGTTATTATAACAAAACTAAGTCCAAACTTCATTAAATAATTCAGAGGAATTTTAGAAGATTGACCTAGCAGTAATAGTTTTCAACTCACAAATAAATAAACTTTCTGTGTAGTTATTTTGCAACATCAGCTTTAGGTAGTAATTTCTCATTTTCGTTGTAAAAATATAAACATTGTCATTGAGATTGTGGCAATATCTATAAACTATGATTACTACATTTTCCATACAAAATGCAAATGAAAACAAAGCTAGATCTAATGTGCTTCTCTTCAAGAATCATAGAATATAGTGAGTTGGAAGAGACCGACAGGGATTATCAAGTTCAGCCCTGTGCAGGACACACCAAGAGTCACACCATGTGCCTGAGAGTGTTATAGAATGAGAGTGAAGAATGAGAGTGTTATAGAATCATAGAATCATAGAATCGATTGGGTTGGAAAAGACCTCCGAGATCATCGAGTCCAACCCTTGGTCCAAATCCAGTCCATTTACTAGATCATGGCACTCAGTGCCACGTCCAATCTGCGTTTAAAAATCTCCAGGGATGGTGAATCCACCACCTCTCTGGGCAGCCCATTCCAATGCCTGATTACTCTCTCTGTAAAGAATTTTCTCCTGATATCCAACTTAAATTTCCCCTGGCGGAGCTTAAGCCCGTGCCCCCTTGTCCTATTGCTGAGTGCCTGAGAGAAGAGACCAACCCCCACCTGGCTAGAACTTCCCTTCAGGTAGTTATAGACGGTGATGAGGTCACCTCTGAGCCTCCTCTTCTCCAGGCTAAACAACCCCAGCTCCCTCAGCCTCTCCCCATAGGACTTATGCAAACACTTCTTGAAGGCTGTCAGGCTTGGTGCTGTGACCACTGCCTTGGGGAGCCTGTTCTAGTACCCAACCACCGTCTGGGTGAAAAACCTTTTCCTGATATCCAGCCTAAACCTCCCCTGACTCAGCTTCATGCTGTTTCCTTGGGCCCTGTCACTGGTCACCACAGAGAAGAGATCAGTGCCTGCTCCTCTGCTTCTCCAACATGAGGAAGTTGAAGACTATGATGTGGTCTCCCCTCAGTCTCCTCTTCTCCAGGCTGAACACACCAAATGACCTCAGCTACTCCTCATACGGCTTCCCCTCAGGGCCCTTCACCATCCCCGTTGCCCTCTTTTGAGGGCATTAAGCTCCTAAAAGCTTAATGTCTTTCTTATATTGTGGTGTCCCAAACTGCACACAGGACTCAAGGTGAGGCTGCCCCAGTGCAGAGCAGAGCGGGACAATCCCCTCCCTCAACTGGCTGGTGATGCTTTGCCTGATGCCCCCCAGGACATGGTTGGCCCTCCTGGTTGCCAGGGCACTGCTGACTCATATTCAACTTGCCATCGACCATGATCTCCAGGTCCCTTTCAATGGCACTGTTCTCCAGCCTCTCATTTCCCAGTCTATACACACAACCAGGGTTGCTCCATTCCAGGTGCAGAATCTGGCACTTGCCCTTGTTAAACTTCATACAGTCGGTGATTATCCATTGCTCTAATTATCAACAGGAAGTTTCTCCCTCTTCCTTGCAGAACAAATGTTTTTGCAATGCCAGCACAACACCTGCCATACAAAACAAAGCACTACTTTCCAAACACATTAAAATATATTTTTTATCCTCTGGAGTCCTCATTAGCAGGTGAAGCTCCAGCACCTCCTGTCTCCCCAGAGCACTTGCCCCATGAGGAGAATTAACTTCAGCTTGAAAACTGCAGGCATTGGAACAGGTTGTCCAGGAAGGTGGTGGAGTCACCAGTCATTCCTGGAGGTGTTTAAGAGGCGTCTGGGTCTGGCACTGGGCGATGTGGTTTAGGAGTCACAGTGACAGTGCGGGGCGGACAGTTGGACTGAGTGATCCTGAAGGCTTCTTCCACCCTTGACGACTATATGATTCTACGACTAAAGATGTACCTGCGGCGGTACCTGGGAGCGGGCCAGCGGGCGGGTCCGCCGGGGGAGCAGCCGGGAGGGGGGAATCCCCTGGCCCGATCTGGCCCGACCCTGAGGCAGCGCCCTCGGTCCTCCCCGCGCAGCAGGGCCCCACTCACCGACGCGGCGGGAGAGCTTCACCTCCTCGTTCAGCCATTCGCAGAGGATTCGCGACATGGCCGGGCCGGACCCGCCGCCGCTTCCTCCACACTCCGCGTCCCGTTGCCGCGGCGACCGCGCGGGGCGCCTGCGCGGTTGGGGCAGGGCGGGTGGCGGCCGTACCGCGCAGGCGCCACGGGCGGGCGGGTCCGCGGGTGTGCCCGGGCGCGCGGAGGAAGGTGAGCGCGCGGCGGGGCGGGGCGGGGCGCGCGCCCGCCGCCCCTTCAGCGGGGCTGGGGGGGCCCCGCGCTGGGCGGGCGGGGGCCGAACGCGGCTCCGCCGAGCTGAGCCCCGGAGGGGTCGTGCCCGGGGGCAGGTGGCCGGTCCCCGCCCCGCTCTGTGCCCCCGCGCCGTGCCGGGCTGGCGGCACACGGGGCTCCCACACCTCTCTGCTCCGGCCGCGTGTTCCATGTGTGTTCCAGCCCGCAGTTCCCCGTTCCGCCCCGACGTCGGCGGCGCCGTGCCTTGTTTGCTCCTGAGCTGGTGCGAGTGAAACGGGGCAAAGGGCTGACAGGTTTAGGGTGGACATTAGGGAGGCTGAAGGGTGGACATTAGGTAGAACTTTTTCACAGAAGGGGTGTTTAAACATTGGAATGGGCTGCCCAGGGAGGTGGTGGAGTCACCGTCCCTGGAGGTGTGTAAGGAAAGCCTGGACGTGGCACTCAGTGCCGTGGTCTGGTTGACAGGGTGGTGTCCGGTCATGGGTCGGACTCGATGATCTCGGAGGCCTTTTCTCGCCCAGTCGATTCTGTGATTCTGTGAAACGCAGCCTAGCAGGAGAAAGAAATTAATCCCGGGTGATTTTCCGAAATCCGTTCATATAACGGCACAAATTACTCTGTTGGCGCAGTGTGAAAAGGGGGAGGGAGAGCCAGAAGTGCCGAGAAGGGCTCTGGCGGTGCAAATGTGCGCTACACATCGAGGAGGGTTTTTTTCCAGCAGCGCTGTCGGTGTGAGGCTGGGGAGCATCCCTGTGCCAGAACAGCTGCTCCTGTGGGAGCCAAGCGGGGTTATAACGAGCCTCGCCGATACGGCTCTTTGCTCAGCTTTTGTTTGTATTAAGTTATCCTTGTTTTAGAATCTGAAATAATCGTGGGTGGTTCCAGTGCTCCTATCTGAAGCGTGTGTGACAAAACTGTGGAGCGTAGTGCTACATCTGGAAAATGCGCTGCACACCATGGGGATTTCAATTGGCCAATTTCTTCTGGAAAAGATTTATGTTTTATTTAGTTTTTGGGTACCTTTCAGTACAACACAGAATCCTAAAGGATTATTTATCTTGCAAAAGGCAGGAAAAAGAGGATCTAGTGGCTAATGATAGGCTGACAGCAAACTAACTGTAATTTTCAAAAGTGACAATAATCAACAGTTGGCATAACTTGGAATGTTACAAATTCTGTTTCTCTACAAGGACCAGAATTCCTCAGATTAAATCTCTGTGCTTTTATGGAGGGTATGCTTCAGATCAAATTAAATCTTTGAGAATAAGTAAAAATAAATGTATAACTGACCAGGTATTTATATATCTTGAAAAGGTCAGTATAGAATTAGTGCTACATGAATGAATGAAGTAACAGGAAACTTCAAGAGGGGAAGTACTTTCAAGGCAGATGTTTAAATTAATATTTATATTCTTCTAAAGATTCAAAGTTTTGTGTATATCTGAAGGTATAAAAATACCCATACTTAAGGGGGAGAAAAAAAAACCTTGAATTTTTAATATTTTTATGACACTATTTCATAGTAGCATGAAAGTGGTAGCAGTAGTATGAAAATAGTAATACTACCCACCAGTAGTGGGTATATCTACTTTCACAAGAGTGTTTTTCTGATATGTCAGGGTGCGAGGAACAAATATATTTTAGCTTTCTCATGGAATTTTTTCCTTATCTCCAGAAATCAATGTATATTCATTTATGTTTATATACAGTTATATGTTGCTGCACATAGTCATTAATGTTTAAGAAGTTTATGTTGATTTAAAACATGCAAACCAGAACTGATTTATATTAAGTATAGAACTTTCCATATCACCTCTGACTTTAAAAAGCTGGTACTTCCTGTGTCTCTAGGTTTTTTCCTTATGGAATGTATTCTTTCAACTTTATTATCATATTCAGTGAATTTCTAAACACTTGATTTAGTTTAAAATAACATGGGTTGTTCTATCTGCTGAGATGACATAGTAAAATCTTATTCAGATAAGCTAGAATTATGAGAAACATGGAATTTCATATTTAAATTCAGTAGTGGCTTGTTGTTTCATTTAAATCTGTCTTAGCTCTTAACAAATTAGTGTAGCTTTCTTTCAGAATTCTGGGTAGTGATAGGATAATGTATTAATCAAATTTTACTTTATTCTTTCCCTGAATTTAAGACTTTGGAAGATGTCTGTGTTCTGTGCTGTGAAAGCTGAGTCCAGACAGCTTTTAAAGGAAAATTCTAGCAGACAACAAATAAGGTAAGTGTTTCCCTAATTCTACCCTTGCTGAAAACACCAGTATTTTTAAATGAGTGTTTTCTGTGTTCTCTTCGTTTTTTATTTTTTTTACTTATACTTTAATTTTGCTAGGAATGCCAGTTGGAATATCCTAAGCATTCCAAACTGATTTTTCAAAGTACTCTGTACTTTGAATGGTGTAGATTTTAGACAGCAATACTAGATTGTGGAATGCATATGGATTTTTCACATAAAACTTTGTCTTTATTTTAAAGTTAATACATCTTCTCATGGACTTGCTTAGAAAGAGGAGAGGATTGTCCATAGGCTGAATTTATAATAGTCAAAGGAATAGAAGACATCAGACAACAATCTGTTGAGCACAGAAATTGAGGTGTTGGGGATCATCTGCATATATGAAGAACAAAAAAAGGATCTTAAAATATAATCAAGCCTACAGCTTTTTTGTACTTTAGTTTTGAATAACATGGACATATAGTGGTATGCATGAAGAACAAGAGGGCAAAATTCAGTTTTAAAAGTGATTATCCATAAACTTCAGTGTTATCACAAAAGGACAATCAAAATTCTTCAGCATGTTCAAGATAATAAACTGAAGGGGGAGTTAATTAGGAGGAATTATTTACAATTTAATACAACATAGATTAAGAAAAGTCAAATGGAACAGTACCTGAATTCTCAAATCAAATTCCATTTAGATTGAATCTGTGCAAACAGTAGTAGCACTAAACTGATACAGAGTAATTAAAGCATGTGTGGGTTCAGGAGCTTCCTTTTTGTGCACCAGAATTTGTTGCTGCGTCAACAAGATTCTTTATAAATATACTTAAGTATAATTATTGCAGTGTTATGGTTCATGTTGTTTGCTTGTCTTTTCTCCTGGGAATTTACAACAGGGCTAAATAGCCTTCTCTCCTCCTAGGGCTTCTTTTCACTTTTCCCTCTCTAGTTTGATTATTCATTTTACTTAATGTTATTTACCCACTCTGACATGATCAAATGATCATGTTCTCTTTGAAACTTAATTTTAACTATATTCATCCCTCAGAGACTCTCCTCTGGTCACCTCTGGGTCTTCATACCTGAGGACAAAAAAGGATCAAACTCTAAAGAAATCATGACCTTGAGGATTGTGCTTACCCCACATTTCCACAGCTTCTTGGTTCATGCACCTCTCAGCTCTGTTGCCCATACAGGCTCTTAGAACAGCACTACTCTGGAAGCCTGTTCTGATTTCTGCCTTGAGTTTCCCTGTTGCCACAAGAAAACAGCTATATTGATTCAGAGCTCATGTTTGTCTAGTTCAGTCTCCTGTCTCTGACAATGATCAATAACAAATTCCGGGGACGAAATGAAGGGAAATCATATACTAGTACTGTATACTTGTTAGCATATACCATGTTGCCATACAGAACGTTGTCTCTACCATCACTTTTTGTGATAAAGGACTTTATGCATCTACGTAAGATAGTACAATTAATTTTTCCTTCCATTAGCACATACAGACAGTTCTAAACCTCTGTAAATATTTAATATTGACAGTGGACTGTGGTAAGGAATTCCATAACTTAACCTGGACTTATATGAACAAATTAGGTTACCCTTCATTATGTGAAGAAGTACATTGTTATTTTGAAGCTGCATCCTCTGCAGTGCTGTAGCTGTTCTGTTATTTTTAAACAAGAGTATGAGGCATCTGACTTGCAGGTTGAACTGATGCTTTAAGTGCTATCTTGCTTCCAAGAGCTATATAATAGATGTATTTTATATTCACATTTACTGCCTATCTTTGTTTTCTCTCTACCCCAGTTGTGAGGTTGTGTCTCTGGACACAATGCGTCTGATATTAACTGTGGCTAATATGGCTTATTCTGCTCTTTTTATTATCTGCACAAGGAATGCTGGGGTGTGAATCTGCTGTACCAGTCCTGTAAAAAAAAGTCCCCCACTTCGCAATGCTGATGTGGCTACATGCAATATATATGCAAGATCTGCAGTTACTGCCTAAATAATCTCTCCGTATTGTAAGCAAGTGTGTCATCTGTGTTCAGATACTGATGAGAATGTATGATGCAGCCTGGCAAATTACAGGTATGCAGGAAAATACTGTAATGGATGCATTGTTTTCTGTACTGCGAAGTGGATTATTAGTATGTAGGTTCAGTTTGAGTAAATCTCAGTAAATTACTGGGCACGATTAAGGCAAGAGCATTCCAGAGAAGTTCTGCACTATGAAGAGACAGGGCAAAATGTTTCCAGTGTGAGGAACAGCTGTAGTGTTGTGGCTGGCTGATGTTTTGATTCTTTTCCACGCTGGTAATCAAGTAAGGAAGAAGATAATTTAATCTTCTAAAGTGAGATCCATAACTCGCTTGTTGTATCTGAGACAATATGGTTCCGTTTGGTTCAGTTATAGCAACTGCACATTTAAACCAGGGACTGAAGGATTTTTCAGCTTCAAGTAAGGGTTCAGTGTCTCCAGTGTGATGTATTTGTCAGGAATTACAATCCACTATGGTGGATAGTGGCATATGATATTGAATAATATTTGAATATTGATTGATGGTTTAAGACAAACTAAGTAAAGCAGAGTGGGTTTTTT